TGCCCCGATTTTAAGTGTAAGTGATTAAGTCTCGACATAATGCCTGCCGCGGAATGACTGGCAGTGTTTTAAATGTTAAGGTCCGGGCAGCAGTTTTGGGCAACTTTGGCATGCGGCTAGATTACACCCGAGGCGGCGTTGGTGGTGTAATGGAGATGGGGGATGAGTAGGCGTTGGAGAATCGTGTGCCCCTCTTGAAATAACTATTGCTTTTGTGGTGATGTGAGCATCTTTCAGGAAATGCTTATAAGCATGTGCCTTTGGTCGATCTTCCGAGAATAACTCATCAGACGGAGAATGGAGTCCCGACTTTCGGGTAAGGCCAAACTTTGGGCTATGTGCTCGCTCTGGTTGGCTGTGTGGGTTCATATAACTACAGTTGTGTTGAACAGGCAATGGAAATTCGTGTCAAAATTTGATCGAAACGTCGTATATGCTTTGGAATGCACTGGAAAGCCGAGTTGAGCAATCATGAGTGGAAATGGCCTCCCACGTGTGGTACCGTTGCGCGCCGTTTTCGTCTCTGGCACCTGCCAGAATAAACGTTTTTCGCATTTAGCATGATGTGTGCAAAAGATTGAAATCGCATGACATTACCTGTGTCTTCAATAGAATGATAATGACTTAGTTCTGCATTTTCACCCCTTGTTATGCTGGATAGATGTTGGGATAACTTGTTTTGGTGGGAATGGCTTTACACTTAGTCCAGTAAACCTTGTTTTGCATGTGCACCATGCATCTTTTGTCCTGAAAAGTGGTTTTCTACCTAGCCAGTTAGGTTTGTTTTGGGATTTTCAGGATGGTGTGATTCTTAGAAGTTGGAAATGGTAACTACACTCCAGTCTTCAACCTGTAACAATCATGCAAACAAGACCTTTAGGGCAGATATTATGCTAAAATCTGTATATATAGATATGTACTGATAATATCACAAGTTATGTTATAAAGTCACACAGTTCAATAAATAGTGTGCATGTCACTGCTGCCACTGAAAAGCCAAATTGTGAATTGATGCTTTCTGAATCAGAAGTGTGGAGAACACATCTATTTTTCTGATGTTAAATTAAGAAAATGAAGTTGAGTTATTACACTAGTCTATAAAATCACCTCTTTATTGTGTAGGACATGTCAGCAGGCTGTTCTTTCTATATTGTAATACTTGAATGTGGTGGAAGGTAGTTGGCCTTTTCAACCTTAATTTGTTTTTGAGTATGAAAAATTATTGTTTGTTTTTACTACAATCAAGTGTAAAGCACATATAGTTCATCAATACACCTGCATGCAGTTTTATGAAAGAACTGACAAGCTTTGAGGATTGGTGCAGGCTTAAGCTCAGAGTTATATAACAATCACTGATTGTTTAACATTGGTAAGTAGGTACCTATTTTCTTTCTGAGGGTATCAAAATAGCAGGCTTGAAAGGGCTTTCAGTAATTTAAATGGTCTAAGCAGCACTCATTGTAAAGTGGCAATGTTATTTGACCATGAAAATGGCTTATGAAGCAATAAGGCTGTGTCACATGTGGTAGATAGTGTTTCAGTGAAACTCCTAATGGAAGTGAATGCTGTTTCCCCTCACAAGAGCATGATTTAACATGGTGTTTCCATTATTTTAGGTCATTTGCCCTGTGGAGGGCTCAACTTTATCATTATCTCTACTGAACAACAAAACTCAATAAGACATTAACATTTTTGCCTATTATTATGGACAGGATAATGTACACACAGGTCCTAGGTGTGGCTTCAAGTTTAAAAAAAGCAGAAAATTCAAATTGTATCATAGAGTCAAACCCGTTATTGTGCCTATGTCTGAATGATCCATGCCATTAAAACACTGCCTCTGTTTTTGGCAATCACATACATTCTGGGCTCAGTGTTAGGTGTATGGAAGTGCATGTGGTGACATCAGCATCCAGTCAGCACCTACTTATTGGAACAGCCCAGAAGGTTCTTTGAGACTCAGACATTTTTGCATTACTACTGCAATCCATCAAAGACCCTTGTCTTCCCATTAGGCCCATTATATTCATTCCTGCTGCCCCCCCCCCCCCCACACCCCCCAATTTAGGAATATCTGACATAGTGCATGCCACCCAGTAGGTGTTATGTTTTGTTACTGTTTCCTAATTTGCTCTAATTAGTTACATATTTATTAATGAGCTGGATTTCATGCTTCTTGTATAATTGATGCCTCCCACACAAATGTCTGCTCTTACTGGCTCTCACTGGTAAAGACCAGTTCATCGCTCCTTTTGGAAAGGCTCATCATCGTAACTGAAGCAATGAAATGTTGTCACGTTGTGTGGAGTGCATTTAGTTGGACTGGCCATATATATACTTGACTTTCAGTCCCATTTGATGTAGGTGTTGTAGATATGACTGATATGCAGTAACAGTGCATGTAAGTATGACAAAACATTAAGGCATAGCAAGCTTTGTGCCATACAAAGGTTTTACTTTGCCCCCACCCCAACCCCCCCCCTGCCCCACCCCACCCCCCACCCCCACCCACCCCACCCCCCACCCCCCACCCCCCCCCACCCGCACCCCTAGGGATTTGTTATGGGCAGGGCTGAACTGTTGTAATATAGATGTCTGGAAATAGCAAGAAAGATGATGCACAAAATAGTTCTAAATGAATTATTTAGATTTTTCAATGCTGGCTGTACCATCAGAGGCATGTTGCAGCTTCCCTTTTGCACAATTCTTCATGGACATCTTTCAGTCATGTAATTTCTGCACATATGTTGGCCTTACTCATGCCATTTGCTACCATGGTCTGTAGCTGGAAAGCACCTGCAACAAACATCTGTTCAGTGGTGATCATGAGCTTAAGTTTTCTTAAATGTGTGGATACTGTGGCATTTGTTTTCACTCATGATGTAAGATTAACTGGCAGAGCTCAGCAGACACCTCTGGCTGACTTCAGGTCCTTGGCATCACAGCCCACCAGTGTCACCCAAGCAAGCAAAAGCCCTCTCATGTTAAGATGTTGACTTAAACATATGATTTTCCAAGCATCCTGTGTACACTTATAAAACATGTGTGCCCAGGCACCATTGAAACTTGACTCACAATCACTGCTGCTATCTGGTAGAGTTGAACTGCCCTTGTGGATGTACCCTTAAGCTAGACAGTGCAGCACACAGCTTGGATATGATGGAGGTGAAGGATGAGCTCAGTGGTGCAAGCTGTTGCTCCAAATGTGAAGCCATTGCCCATTCCTATTCATTTTCACTGGTGTTTTACAATGGCACAGGACAGGTTGAACCAAACTACACACATGCTCACCATGTTGGCACATTCATGTGTGCATGCATTCAATGTCAGTTTTGCTCAGCCCAGCCTCTGTGACCCTCTATGATGCAGTCTTGTCTACCCCCACCACCCTTCCCACCCAGCAGTCATCTGTGGGACCAGGAGATCCTGCCTCCATCAAGCTAGATCATCTGTGGCATTGAGACTGTGCCCTGTCTGTCCAGCCAGGTCCTTTGTGGTGTTATGTAATCCTGAACCCCACCCCACCCCATCCCACCCCAGGCCAGGCTGTCTGTGTCATCTTGTGATCCTTCCCCCCCCCCCCTTCCCCATCCCACCCCAGGCCAGGCTGTCTGTGTCATCTTGTGATCCTCCCCCCCCCCCCCCCCCCCACCTCCAAGAGAGTCTTCAGCACTAGGTTCCAGTGTCCTCTGGCTGCATAGACCCCCTGTGACATCATGACTCCTGTTCCCCTCCCACAACCAGGTCCTTTTTTGGCACATGATGTCCATCCCCCCCCCCCCCCCCCCACTTAACCACACTGGTCTGGCCCTGCCCTGAGCAGTATCTCATGACCCTACTCTCCTTCCCATTTGCCCAGGCTCTCTTAGGTGACCCTGCTGGTCAGGCCTGATCCTCCGGCGTCACGGGGCCCTTGTTCTGCCTGTCTGGCCCCTGGGGCCACGTGACCTTTTGTCTCACGTGACCTCTGGCGTCTCGTGACGGCCGTCCGGTCTGTGCGGCGACAGAAGCTGCAGTTCCTGAACCTGACTGGTGCGTCACCGGAGGAGCTGGAGCTGCTGCGCCGGGTACAGGACCCCGCACACAGCCGGGTGGAGCTGCCCAATGACCCGCCTCCCCACCAGGTCAGTGAGCTAGAGTCGGCGGCGCCCCGTCATGCCGTGGCACTGTACGACCGGAATGCTTGTGAGTTCTCATTTTGATGCAGCAGGCCAGCAGGCTGCTGGACAAATCAACAGAGATGTGTTTCAGTAGGTGCTGAATGTAATTGTTTCAGTATAGTGATGTTGTATCGCAGTGCTTCCATATAAACAATTATAAACAACTTGTTTGTTTATAATTGTTTATTTATGACGATTATCTACAATTATAAACAGTTTCGCGAAGAAGTTGACTACCCCACGGAATGCACGGTTTTTACTACCAAGAAGTTCAACCGTAGATTGTGCGTGATGTTAAATGCACTTGTTGCGTCATCATCAATGCGTCATCAGCTATAATGACTGGTGCAGCCAATTCTTGCTAATGTCTAACATTTTTGTCTTGCTCTCATGTTGACTCGTGCAGGGTTGGATATCTGACCTTACTGTCCGTGTCGTCGGGCAGATAGCATGATATCAGCGCACGGCGCTGTTCGTCTTGTCGGGTGCATCTGCTAACTGGGCGCGCGCGCGTTCTGGCCGTGCGTCTGCTGACCGAGCGTGCGCGCGTTCTGGCCGTGCGTCTGCTGACTGGGCGTGCGCGCGTTCTGGCCGTGCGTCTGCTGACCGAGCGTGCGCGCGTTCTGGCCGTGCGTCTGCTGACCGAGCGTGCGCGCGTTCTGGTCGTGCGTCTGCTGACTGAACGTGAGCGCGTTCTGCTCGTGCGTCTGCTCGTGCGTCTGCTGATGGAGCACGCGCGTTCTGGCCGTGCGCCGCAGGTGTATGAGACGTGTCGGCTGCCGCCGGACGGTACCGAGTTCGCCGCCGAGGAGGCGGCCCCCGGCGCCAGCCAGCGCCGACTCGGCCTCGCCCCAGCCACACCCCTCTAACCGTACGTCGCCGTCGCCGGGCGCCGGGGCCACCCTTGGCCGCGTGCCGCCGCTCGGTAAGCGGGCAGCAGGTCCGACTGATGTGGCGTGGCAGCTGGTGCCTGACGCAGTGGTTGTTGACGGAGCCGTTCTAGGCTCCCGTGCACCTTCCTGTTGGCTTTCCGCAGAAGGAGATCCGACTGCTCGCGACGGGCGGAGAATGTAGCGAGAACTGGAGTTGGCGTAAGCATTGGAATAGACGCCTTTCCATGGCGAGATATCAGAATTAGGACTCCCTTAATTAATTTTATTGGAAGTTGATGCGTTTTCATCACACTTATCACACCACATTCTCCGCCCGCGCCGCCTACCTTCGTAACATCTTCAGTACCAGAACCATGTACGTTTGTGGAGACTGGTGTGATATTCGCTCTGTGTGAGTTAATCATCGAATGTACTGTGTAAGTTATCACTGAATCTCCCTTGTATTGGCTATCTGCAGTCCACGTAATTCCAGGGGCGCTGTTCACCAATTATTTGCACGTGGTCTGACCCACGGGTCATTGGGCTTAGCCGCTGCACAAGGCGGCTGGTCCATCGGGAGCGCGCCTGTGTCGTCACTAACCGGGTGCTCCGTCTGCGACACGCGCTTCCGTGCTGTTCCACCCGCTCGTGCGACGGCGGCCAGACCTGGCGCACGCGCCCCCGCCCCCGCCCCCGCCCCCGCCCCCCCCCGCCCCCGGCCCCAGCCCCCGCCTCCGTCCCGCCCCCGCCCCCGCCCGGGAGCGGTGCCAGCCGGGGAGCATGCTGACGCGCCGCCCTCTCCGCCGCCAGAGGGACTGCCGGGCGAGCTGGCGCCGCTGCCGCTGGCCGCCATGCCGCACGTGACCGCCCAGCACCCGGCCATCTCGCATATGGTGGCCGGCGGCGCGGCGCCGCTCTACCAGCAGCAGGCCGGCTACCCGTTCCCCAACATGTTCGTCAACAGCATGCCGCCCGGCGTGAACATGATGTACCCGATGCCGGGCGGCTACCCGCTGCAGCCGCCGGCCGGCTACGGGCCCGAGCCGGTGAGCGGCGGCGACCAGGAGCGGCGGCGCTCCGGCAAGAAGGCGGACAAGATGGCCGCCATCGCCGGCCACTACTCGCCCTACCACATCACCACGAGTGCCGCTACGGGACATCCGCTCGTCATGCCGTTCCCGAACGGTCCGTATGGCCAGGTGGTGCCGCTGCCCTACCACCCGTACCCCTACGCGTACCCCAGCCCGGAGATGATGATGGCCGCCATGCAGCCACCGCCACCGCAGTCGCCGCAGCAGCCGCTGCCGCCGCCACCGCAGCATTCCCAGCAATCGCCGCAGCAGCGGCAGCATTCGCATCAGCCGCAGCCGCCGCAGCTGCCGTCGCCCCCGCAGCATCCGCCGTCGCAGCAGCCGCCGTCGCAGCAGCAGCAGCAGCAGCAGCAGATGCTGGACGTGTCTGTGCCGCCGCCGGCCGTGGCGGCGTCGCCCGAGGAGCCGCGCGCGCCGCTCTGCGAGCCTTACGGCCGCGCTGACGACGCGGAGCGCGCGCTGCCGGCCGACGCACCGGCCGCGCCCGCCCGACTGCGTTTTGGCTTCGACCTGGACGACAAGCTGGGCGCGTGCGAGAGCGGAGCCGTGCAGCTGGAGCCGGACGCGGCGGTGAGGCCGGCGGCGGCGCGGGCGCTGGACCTGGAGCTGGAGCGGGAGGTCACGGAGGAGCTGGGGCTCGACCAGCACGGCGCCGACAATGGCGACGAGCGCGCCGGTGACGGCCGCTCGTCGTCGGCCGAGCCGTGCGACGCACCCACCTCGTACGTGGCCACGGTGACTGTGAGCCAGCGGCACGTGCCTGCTGGCGAGCGCTGCTTGCCGCCGGCCGGCTCGCCGGTGGCCGAGCCGGACTGCGGCGCCGCCTCCCCGGCCAGCGCCTCCGCCGCCGAGCCGGCCTCCTCCGTCACGAGCGACGAGGCGCCGGCCGAGCCGGCCGCGCCCGTCAACGGCGAGGCGGCGCCGGAGCCCACGCGCGAGCCGGAGCCGCCGCCGCCGCCGCCGCCGGGGCCGCGCTCCTGGGCCAGCCTGTTCCAGACGAAGGCGGGCGACGCACCCGTGCCGCCACCGGCCGCCGCGCCGCCAAAACCGGCGCCGGCGCCGCCGACCAGCGCCGCTGATACCGGCCTGCTGTCCATTGGAGGTGCGTTGGACTCTGACACGCGAGACTGTCAGTTTCCTGTGGAATCTTGCCTTGTGTTTGGCCTTGCAGCTGTCATACCAGTCACCTTAGCATGGGTGCCCACCCTCGAGGTGGACGCGTGTTAAGCATTTTCAGGTGGGCTGGTTCGTGATGGTCCATTCTCTATTTGATAACTGGACCACGCTGTGCGGGGTGCCGGTAGTGTAGTGACGAACGTGTCTGCGTTAACCATTGCGCCTCTGTGCGACCAGAGGAAGGGGGTTCGATCCCCCGCGGGGCCTGTCCTTAATGCCAGGGTGAGAGGCGGGCGACGCCATAAAAGGACTCGGCAACTGAGTGTGTCGTAAAGCCCCGATCACGCAGACGACCGCGCTGTGCATCATGGCTGCCGCTGCCGGCGCTGGCTGATGGCCGCCTCCTCTCGCCGCCAGCGGTCCTGTCTCGCTTCGAGCTGAGCTACAAGAACGTCTACCTGCAGCCGCGCGGCCTCACCAACAAGTCCAACTGGTGCTACATCAACGCCACGCTGCAGGCGCTGGCCAGCTGCACGCCGTTCTACCACCTGATGAAGTCGCTGCCCTCCAACATCGGCCTGCAGGCGGACAACAGCCGCACGCCCATCATCGACGCTGTGTGAGTCGCGTGGGGGAGCGGGGCCGGGGGGGGGGGGGGGGGTCGGACGCACTGGCTTCCGCAGCATCAAATGTAACGATGGCGGTGGCTGGCAATGTTCTGGCAATGCCAGAATTCAGTAACAGGCCAGCCTCACTGTTGTGCTATTGTGCATGTGGACGGTAGCCCACCAGCGAGCATGTTGCCGTACTTTGTGAGGGCGCAGAATCAAGCCCCTTCGTCGCAGAAGTAGCATCATTGTAGGAACCAGCTTAACATCGAGTTTTTTGTTCTTATCAGTAATTTATTATACTCTGCTATCCCAGATGGCAGGGTGGTCAAATATTCCACTTTCGCCATTTCCAAACTGGCTTGGTATAAGACATGTGGAGGTTGCAAAAATTTTGATACGGGCCTCGCACACATAGTGGGTCTAGTTTGCTGAAGATAATTGCATACAATAATGTTGATGGTGGCTTGGAAGCTCCATTTGGGCAGATGTGTTTCAGAGCAGGAGAACCTGCCTGTAGTTATGGCATCTGGTAGGCTCTTCTGTTGTTAACCCTATATGGAGAGCACTGCCCCTGAGGGCCACCAGAAGTCTCTGCAGAAAAATCGCGTTACTTTTTACCCCTCTGCATTACTGAAGCCCTCCGAGACTAAACCAGAAGTTACAAGCAGAAAGGCGTGCTCATTATATTTCAAATTTGCTTTCCCTGCTACAGCAAGATTATGAGCGAGGTCCCACTGCTGTGCTGCGAGGATGGCACGTGTGAGCAAGGGCCCACTGCTGTGCTGCGAGGATGGCACGTGTGATCGAGGTTCCGCAGCTGTGCTGCGAGGATGGCACGTGTGAGCAAGGGCCCACTGCTGTGCCGCGAGGATGGCACGTGTGAGCGAGGTCCCGCAGCTGTGCTGCGAGGATGGCACGTGTGAGCGAGGGTCCCACTTCTGTGCTGCGAGGATGGCATGTGTGATCGAGGTCCCGCATCTGTGCCGCGAGGATGGCACGTGTGTGCGAGGTTCCGCAGCTGTGCTGCGAGGATGGCACGTGTGAGCGAGGTCCCACTGCTGTGCTGCGAGGATGGCAGGTGTGAGCGAGGTTCCGCAGCTGTGCTGCGAGGATGGCACGTGTGAGCGAGGTTCCGCAGCTGTGCTGCGAGGATGGCACGTGTGAGCGAGGTCCCACTGCTGTGCTGCGGGGATGGCACGTGTGAGCGAGGTTCCGCAGCTGTGCTGCGAGGATGGGGCACGTGTGAGCAAGGTCCCACCGCTGTGCTGCGAGGATGGTACGTGTGAGCAAGGTCCCACTGCTGTGCTGCGAGAATGGCACGTGTGAGCGAGGTCCCGCATCTGTGCTGCGAGGATGGCACGCGTGAGCGCGTCCACGCTCAGTAGCCAGGAGGATTGAAACAAAATTCCAGCTGGGCCGAGCGTGTAAGTGAGCTCTCTGCCGGCAGGGTGGAGTTCATGAACGAGTTCTCGTCGCTGCCGGAGCTGCAACGCGTGAAGCGGCGCGAGCGCGAGCGCGGCCACCTGCGTGACATGGCCGTTGGGCCGCCATTCGAGCCCTCCTACGTGTACGCCATGCTGTCGCGTGTCAGCTCCGACGCCTTCCGCGTGGCCGGCCGCCAGGAGGACGCCGAGGAGTTCCTCACCTGCCTGCTCAGCGGTCTGCAGGACGAGATGACCGAGGTCCTCAAGGTGAGCCGCCGCCGCCGTGACCGCGACCGCTCCTCGGACCGGGCCGCCGCAGGTGTCGATGCGACGCGTCTCTGAGACGCGACGCGCTGCAGTCGCCGTAGAGGGTGGGGCGCGCGCGTTAGACTGGCGCAGTCAGCTGACTGTCGGACTGGTGACGGCGTCCGCTCCCGCCGAACATCCACCCGCTTTTGCGGAATATCCACCCGCTTTTGCGGAGCATCCACCCGCTTTTGCGGAGCATACACCCGATCTCGCCGAACATCCACGTGCCCTTGCTGAGCATCCACCTGCTCTCACCGAACATCCTCCCGCTCTCGCCGAACGTCCACCCGCTCTCGTCGAACGTCCACCCGCTCTCACCGAACATCCACCCACTCTCGCCGAACGTCCACCCGCTCTCGACGAACATCCACCCGCTGCCGAACATCCACCCGCTCTCACCGAACATCTACCTGCCCTTGCTGAACGTCTACCTGCTCTCGCCGAACATCCAGCCACTCTCGCCGAACGCCCACCCGCTCATGTCGAACATCTGCCCGCTCTCACCGAACATCCACCTGCCCTCGCTGAATATCCACCCACTCGCTGAACGTCCACCCGCTCTCGTCGAACATCCACCCGCTCTCGTCGAACATCCACCCGCTCTCACCGAACATCCACATGCCCTTGCTGAGCATCCACCTGCTCTCACCGAACATCCACGCACTCTCTCTGAACGTCCATCCGCTCTCGTCGAACATCCACCCGCTCTCGCCGAACATCTACTTGCCATTGCTGAACATCCACCCGCTCTCACCGAACACCCACCCACTCTCGCCGAACGTCCATCCGCTCTCGTCGAACATCCACCCGCTCTCACAGAACATCCAGCCGCTCTCGTGGAACATCCACCCGCTCTCGTCGAACATCCGCCCGCTCTCACCGAACATCCACCTACCCTTGCTGAACATCCACCTGCTCTTACCGAACATCCACCCACTCGCCGAATGTCCACCCACTCTCGTCGAACATCCACCCGCTCTTGTCGAACGTCCACCTGCTCTTGTCGAACGTCCACCCGCTCTCGCCGAACATGACCTGCGCTAATCGAACATCCACCTGCCCTCCACGAAAATCCACGTACTGTCACCGAACATCCACCTGCTCTTGCTAAACATCCACTTGTTCTCACCCAACATCCACTGCTCTTACTGAGCATCCACCTGCTCCAATCGAACATCCACCCGCTCGCGCTGAGCATCCATTGTATGACAAAGTTATCGGCTATGTTTATCAATTGGTCTTGCAATATCGGTGCTACCGTATCGAACCACCATGCAAATAGAATGAGATCGAAGAGGTGGTGCTAGCTAGTTGGTGTGAGAATAGGGAGCATCTTCCAGTGGGATGTCTTGTGTCGCCTGAAACAGCCTACCGTAGGCGTGCTGTACGTGTTGTTGGTGTTCCTCGCCTGTGGCTGCCAGGCCGGTCACGGGCTGACCCGTCTGACCCCGACGTGCCGATCCCGTGTATTCTCGCTTTACCCGGCGTGTCGAGCCCGTGTCCCACCGGCTGACCCTGGCGTGTCGAGCCCGTGTCCCACCGGCTGACCCCGGCGTGTCGAGCCCGTGTCCCACCACGTGACCCCGCCTGCCCCCGGCGCGTCGAGCCCGTGTCCTACCATCTAACCCCGCCTGCCCCCGGCGCGTCGAGCCCGTGTCCCACCACCTAACCCCACCTGCCCCCGGCGCGTCGAGCCCGTGGCCCACCACCTAACCCCACCTGCCCCCGGCGCGTCGAGCCCGTGTCCCACCACCTAACCCCGCCTGCCCCCGGTGCGTCAAGCCCGTGGCCCACCGGCTGACCCGGGCGTGTCGAGCCCGCGCCCCACCGGCTGACCCCGACGTGTCGAGCCCCTGTCCTACCACCTAACCCCGCCTGTCCCCGGCGCGTCGAGCCCGTGGCCCACCGGCTGACCCCGGCGTGCCGAGTCCGTGTCTCACCGGCTGACCACGGCGTGTTGAGCCCGTGTTCCACCGGCTGACCACGGCGTGCCGATCCCGTGTATCCTCGCCTTACCCGGCGTGTTCAGCCCATGTCTCACCGGCTGACCCCGACGTGTCGAGCCCGTGTCTCGGGAGGTTGCCGGTGGGCGTGTGCGTGACCGGGCCGGCCGTCTCGTCAGGTGTACAAGAAGAGCCAGGAGGAGGTTGAGCCGGCCGTCAACGGCTCCACCAACGGCGACGCTGACCACCAGCCGGACCAGGACGACGGCGACAGCGACGACTGGCAGGTGCGGCCGCGCGCTGGTGTGGGGTCGCGCCGTGACCGGCCGCCACGGGGGGGGGGGGGGGGGGGCGAGCGGGTGAGCTTGGCGACGCCTGTGCTGAGGTCGTGTATGGATGGTGGACGGCGGATTTTATCATCATTGGTTTTGGCTGCGTGTTGGCGGCTTTTGCGTGACGCTTGCGTGAATGGGAGCGTTCCACATGTTTATGGGGTTTTGAACTGAAATAGCCATCATGGAGACCTTTCGATGCTGTCCACAATCCCGTCCTTCTTAACGCCTAAGGCTCTTTAGTTTTGGATTACACGCGAACAATGCTAAAAGGTATGTCGCGGAGAGTATTTTTCAAACTCGCCTTGGCATTCATGACGCCATAATAACGCCATTCAAATTCTGTTATTCCATAAGCCATGCGGCGATTAAAAGCTCAGAGAAATGCAGCTGTCGAGGCATTCATATCTGGCGTTCGTGAGCACAATTTCCAGCTATGGCGGCCGTCAATTGGCTCTCAATCACTGTTGTGCAAGGCACAAGGATGTACTCAACCATGATGCACCGAGGAGCGTATTTACTAAACAGGAATTGTGCTGTCTGGAGCAGTCGTTTCCACTTCAAAAGTATACCATTAGTTATAAATAAGCTTGTTTCATCATACCCGTTGCTTGCTTTAATATCTTCAGATGTGAGACGTTCCCTTTAACGCGCCTGTGTGCGCGAAACCCCGTCATGCAGAGGGTTTCGGGTGTGCTGGATAATTCTGACCCGTTGGGGTCTGAATTATTGAGCACACACCATAGTCCTGGCGCTATTTCTGTTCTTGAGAGAGTGCTGACCCCAGCCGGCATGTGGCGGTCTGAGGCCTGACCGGACTGGACCTGACCTGACCTGACCTGACCTGACGCCGCGCTCCGTCCGCGCAGACGATCATCGGCAAGAACCGCGGCCAGGTGACGCGCTCCGCGGAGCTGCAGACCACGCCCGTCAGCAGCGTCTTCTCCGGCCAGCTGCGCTCGTCGCTGCACCGTCATGGCACCAAGGCCACCGCCACCGTCCAGTCCTTCTTCAGCCTGCAGCTGGACATACAGGTCAGGGGCGGGCGAGACTGCGGCCGCCCGGGCGGCCCGTCCGTGCCGGGCGCGCCGGCAGTCACCGCCGGCTTGCGCTGTGGTCGGTCCCCGGCTGCTGGTCCGGCTCCCGCTGTCGTTTATTCGGAGATGGGCGTAAGGCGGTCCTCGCAATCGGCGTGTCTTATAACCCCAATCATCATCGTGCATTGGGGGAATGTTACGAGCGGGGATGCTTGCAACGACATTGAAACTGCGTGCTAAAATAAACAAAAACCAAAAAACAGCTGTCCCATATCATATTTTAGTTCCAGACAGATGGTGAAACTGCGTGCTATAGCGAACATAAAACAGCTGTCCCATATCATATTTAAGTTGCAGACAGATGGCCCCGATGGATTTGTGATTGTATACGAATGTGTTCTGCTTAGATAGGTCTGCTCCCCCCCCCCCCCCCGCCCCCCGTCAGTGTGCGAAGGTGCCCAGTGTAGAGTTGGCGTGTCTCCTGACCGCGTGTTTCGCCCCAGTCGCCGCAGGTGTCCAGCGTGGAGCAGGCGCTGGAGGCGCTGGTCGGCCGGGACCAGGTGGTGGGCCTGACGTGCCCTCAGTCGGGCCAGCCGGTGGACGCGTGGCAGCAGGCGGCGCTCGAGGTCACGCCGCCCATTCTCATCCTCCACCTGAAGCGCTTCCTCTACGACCCGGCCAACGACGGCGTGCAGAAGCTGCTGAAGCGCGTCACCTTCCCCGTCGACCTGGAGCTGAAGAAGGGTGAGGCGACGCTGCCAAGCGGGGCGGACTGGCATCAGCTTCCGGACTGAGCGGTCTGTGGCAAAACGCGGTTGTTGCCAGACAGGTGGCGCTGAGGGATAGTATAGTGTAACGTGGTATATATAGCGTCGGATAGTATAAGTATTTATTGATTTTTGTGGTGTAGCCGTAACATCACCTCACGGGCCCACGTGGCGTCCCGCCGCGGAGCAAGCACTGCCGCCGCTTCTGCCACAAACGCGCTGGCGATCACGATACCGGGGCTGTACATGTCGATGCGCGCGCCGTCTTGGACGAAATCTCCGAACCAACGATCTGAATAATTCAGTATGTTTTCACTGGCGGTCCAGACGCGTGACTCGTGGGAGGGATCCTGCGGTCCGAGTGATGTTTCTCGCGTTGGTGAGCGGGGGTGGCAGCAGGCGCACGGCCGCTCGCTCCTGACGCCCGCTGTGATCGGCAGAGCTGCTGTCCAACGTGCGCGGCAAGATGGCGCCCGGTCCCAAGCGCTACCGCCTGTTCGCCGTCATCTACCACAGCGGCAAGGAGTCGACCAAGGGCCACTACATCACCGACGCCTATCACCCGGCCTACCAGCAGTGGGTGCGCTACGACGACAGCTTGGTGTCGGCGGTGGCCGAGGCGGCCGTGCTGCGGCCGGAGCCGCCGCTCGTGCCCTACATCCTCTTCTACCGCCGGCTGGACACAGTCGCCGCCCACAACGGCAAGTGAGCCGCCCCGCCAGGCCGGCAACCAGGCTTTCAGCGTGCGCGCGGCCGCCGGCCAACCGCGCTAGATTGTGAATATTCGTGCTGTGAGCGGTCTGCCGCGCCCGTACGGTGCGCATGCGCCGTGACCTGGCCGCCGGCGGGTCGGGCGCGACCGGCAGCGGCGGCGGCGGCGGCGGCGGTGACAGCCCGCTCCGGTGCCAAATGCGTGGCCGCCGCTCGGCGACTCGCGTCCGTTTTTATCGTGAGCGTGTGTTTTAACGTCCGGGGTTGGGTGCTGTGTCGGCGCGGCGCCCGGCCCGGCGCCGAGGGCGCGGCGCCCGCGCGCGCTCCGTGTGGCCTTACGCGCTGGAGTCCCCAGCTGCGACCCGTTCCGCCGCGTTGATCGTGTTAAGAGCAATTGCCCGGCCGGCTGGGATCCGGCGTCGTGTGTTGATTTGCCGTTGTAGAGGTGGCCGGGCCGCCCGATGTCTGTCGCCCCGTCGTTTCGCGTGCGCCTCACTCCGCGCGCTGGGCCCCACTGACTGCACGCGGCCGCTAGTTTTACCCGTCATTGCTGACTTGAATTGCTGACCGCGCTCCTGCGTGGCGTTGGCATCGGCCGTGTATTTTAAAGAGCACGCGGTCACAACAGGCGGCCGAATATGCAACCATCCGCGCCACAATTGTGACTTGGTTTTCTCTGTTGCGTGTAGGCCGGCTGCAGTGTGTGATTATTCAGCTGGCGCGTGCTCAGATGTGTTTTGTTTGAGGTCATGCGGGCGCGGGTGCTGTACTCTGTCCGAGTTTCTTGAGGAGCGAGCCGACTGAAATGATTGGGTTGTGTTGTTTTTAATAAAACTTGCGGCCCACAGAAGGGGACCTGTGGGCTGGAGCATGTCAGGGATGAGCTGAGCAGCTGTTTGCTTTCGAGTGGTCCTCCGTTGGCCTCACACAAACGGCAAGGCGAGCGGCGTTGGTGGCGACGAACAAAACGAAGCAAACGCACGTGTTCGTAGGGACTGGCACACGAAAACCGTCAGTGCTCCAGGACGAAGCATACTAAAACCGCCGTTACTGCTTTTTGATGGAGTGAGAAGGAAGCTGCTTTGTTCTCAGGCAGATTCTCAATCTCAGCAAGTGATAGATGCTCGGACCATCGTGACTCCTGCAGCTGCTCGCCAGCAGAAGCATCACGGACTGAAACGGTGCCACAATGAATTAATGAAAGCGTGACCGTGTGTTACCGAATAGGCTGAGCGCCTTCAAGTACGGCGTCAATGGTTGGGGCGGGAGTCGCGATGCCGCACTGCATCGCACTATGGCGCGGCCAGCTGCACTCCTCTGAACTGGGCGGCGGCGCGGGCCGGTCGCGCGGCAGGAGGGCTGCAGGCCTTCCTGTGGTGCTCGCCACGAATCAGACTCGAGTGATACGTCCTAACGAAACACTCCCGCCATCTGCATGCCATAGTCGCTTACAAGTTACGTTCACACGTGCACGGCACGAAATGCAGCAGCAGCCGAGTACGAAAAGAGCGCGAAGCTGAAACGTTATCCTGACTTCTGTGATGGGGCTGACATCCGCAAGATCCGAATCGGGTGCGGGCAAGCCCGCCTCATGAAGCGGGTGATAACTGGTCTCCCTTTACGTGCTAACGGAGAGCACAAGAAGGCTGCTGTTTCCAGTAAACCATTTGTTGTAGGTTATGGATTGCACATGCTCCAGCACATGCATTCGGCCGATACGCGTTCTCAGTGCCGCTTTCGTGCTGACTGCTTTGGAGAAGCGGAGGCCGGAGTGGTGGATTATCGCGAATTGTGCTATCAGAGCAGATTTTTAAGCACTGCGGCAGGCAGGGTTGTATTTTCGCAAACAGGTTGCGGGGGGGGGGGGGAGGATTAACTAAACCGATCGTCTAAATGAGCCCCTGACGGGTTTCTTACCAGATTTGACAACTTCGTTCTCAAAGAAGTGGGGGCTGGAGCCCCCCTCCCCGAAATGAAACGGGAGCAATGGCATAGTCAAGGGGTAGGAGCCCTCCCCCTCTGCTAAGAGGTTAACACTAGACGTCGGATGATTTTACAGGAATTCAGTTCAACTGGCAGGAGTTTGTGAGATTACTTGACATTGCTCCCCTACAAAAATATGACTTGGCTAGAGAAATTGAAATTCAGATTACGCAAGCTATTCTTAATCCCCGGGTAATCACTGGGTCCTGATATTGACATGGAAGCATCCATTTGAGATACAAAGGTGCCTTTCCCAGATGGTGTTCTGTTTGAGTGCTGCGAGCCCGCAGCTTTGCCGATGGTGTCCAGCGCAGGAAGTTCTCACGTCGACGATAATGCAGGTAAGTTCTTATTCCATAACCTTGGGTTATAGTTACAACCATATTCACCTCTAGTTTTGCAAATTTGCATTATGTGGTTACAGGGCTGGGCTCTGGAAGCGAGAAGGACCGGAATATTTTGAGATGTTCGCTTCAAAAACATTTTGGTTGGTTGACACTGTAGTTTATATCTAGGGCGCGTGCTATCACAATTATAACCGGTCGCCTCACTCTTCCGTATCGAACATCGTACTCCGCTCTTCAAACATTAATGCTTTTTGCTCCGACACATTTGCTTCCCGTATGCCTTCAATTTGGTCCCGAATTTTAGTATTTCATGTCTCCCTTCATAACCAGGGTTTCTGTCTACGTGCCATGACCCAGTGGCCAGTTCCTAGCGCGAGGGCACCGAGTGAATTCTTGCTGTCAAGGAAGTTGAGCTTTTGTGGTGGAAAAGCTCAGCAGCGCTGGTTAAAACGAGGAGCCAATAGTGCGTGCTCCTTTCATAATGCCAGTGTGTTAGCGTCGTAATTCGGCAGTTCTGCTGGTATGAAACATAAATTTGACGTGGAAGAGTAGTTTGACGAAATATCTGTTGAATTGATTGGTTGTGTTTTGGTCCAAAGCCTCGAAATTATAAAATCGAATCGATCCTCCGAGGCCCGAAGCAAATATTGACCGAACTAAGATGGGCCGCGCCTGCACAGCAAGGGGCTGGGGCTGCGCCGCGCTACGCATAGTGGTCTCTTGGCTATGTTCTAGGCTTTTATCTGGCAAATCTGGCAAATCATCGCTGGTCGCCATTTTGATGCTCGTGAAGTTCGCTGGGTCGGTGCCGTGAGGGGTTCTGCGGGCGCGTCACGCGGTTATGAGAGGGGAGGTGTATTACTGGGTGCTGAACGTGTTGTAGTGATCGCTGCTAAGCAAGTTTTGCGTCAATGTTTTACTCAATCGCCTGGAGACGAGTGAGGTGAGTTTCGCAGTCGGCACTGGGTAACTGCATGTCTGTATTGGCCGGCGCGTCACATTCGAGCCCGCAATCTTTTTCATCTCCTTTAGCGAATTTTGTGATAAGTCGCATTGGAATCTTGTTCGAATGTAAGTTATTTTAACTCAGAAAGACATCCCTGTTGTTGGCTGGCATGAACAGTACTACTATGCTTCAGAATGTATTGTGATGTTACTCATGTGCTGTGTTTGCGATAGTTGGGTTTAAAGGTGGTTGGTTGTTTCTTGCACATGGTTTTATCTTACACATTAATTGTAACTTGATAATTCTCCTACCTTCTATGGTATCAGACTACAAGTTTAATTGATGAACAATTAACTGGGAATGCCTGAATGGTTAGAAGTAGATTACTATCTAAGGGATCTTGATGTTGGACTGCAAAAGTACATGCCACATCAAATATGTCCATATCCAGCATAGCAGCAACATTGTTGTGGTTGCATCAGCACATGCATGTCTTAAATATGAGCATCCAGAGTTTGTTGCACAGTCACCACTAATTTGATGCAGAAAGCTAGTTTCAAGCATTAAAAAAGAATGGAGATAATTAAAAACAAAGTTTTAATCAATATTTCATGCAAAAATGGTTGGGAAGTATGCATATGCTGCAGCTCATACTCCATGCTCAGGTATTTGATGTGTAGGTGTGTGATGCAATGGATGTGTTCAGAATGATCTGACGTTTGTTGGTATTTTTGCACCCCCGGAAATATTTTACTATAGGTTTATGGCCAGACTTAATGATATTTGCTTCAGCACAAAGCTGTGAACAAATAAACCATTGATATTTTAGATACATTTTGCCTTGAACTTTCTTTCATTCCTCACTAGAACAAAATTTCTAAGGGCAAAACAGACAACAGATATTGAGTGTTAAGATACAGCATTTTAAGAAATACTGTGCAAGGTGTTGAGAATATTTTGCCCCAGGTAATACATCATATTTATATTTTAGGAGTTACAAGAAGTCAAATATATTATGCCACATTATGCATATCCATTGTATCTGTACATGCCTGATGTGTCCCATCCATTTCAGATCATGATGGACAGCCAGAAGTTTTGCCTTAAGTGGAACAATTTTCAGAACAGTGTGACATCAGTGTTTGAGAATCTCAGACAAGATGAGGAACTGGTGGACATAACACTGTGCTGTGAGGGACATAAGATCAAAGCCCACAGAATGATGCTGTCAGCTTGCAGCCCCTACTTCAGGGACCTTTTGAAGGTAAGTTAATCTTTGTTAGCTTTGGGTGCTCTTGTGTCTCAAGGACTATTTAAGACTGCTTAGAGTAGTAGGGCATGTAACAGATACTTTTATAGGTGTGTGAGACAGAGCATATCCCTGAGTCAGGTTTTGGGATTTCTATGTGTGCATGTGTGTGTGTGTGTGTGCATGTATGTCTGTGATGCAGCACTGTGGTATTGTCCAGCAGCTACATACATAACCTGTGCCCATATGATTCATCACTGTTTGTATAAAGAAATGAATTGCAGGTAACACTTCATGGGCATGGATCATTCTGCTGCAAATGAGCGGTGTATCAATGCATAACTTGTGTATGAGAATGTGCCTCCATGTGTATAACTTGCACGTCAAGATAATGGCCATTATGGAATTAGGTGTGAGCTCTTCAACTTGTTTGCTCCTTAATGCTTGAAATTTGTTGGACAACCATGATATAAATTGATAACCTTGTAAGTATGTTGAACCTGTGATATACATTCATCCTGTCTGAGACTGGACATTTTATATCACTACTGGCAGCAGGAAAGCTACATATGGCACCCCCCTGGTTGTTGCAGCTTTGTTCCCTACTTTAATTGTAATAAATAATATGCCATGAGCTTTTGCTGCTTACCTTGAGCTAGCAAGTGTGCCATTTGATGGCTTAAAGTCCTTAAGCTACATTGGATTTGATTGGTCACATGTTATTACAGTGGTTTAGTCCTTGTCAATTTTTACCACATGTTATTATGACCCAGTTAAACTGTTAGAATCAGCTGGCAGGAGTTTCAGCCAGCTGCTGCCACCATACCCATGATGAAAACATTTCTGTTGAGATGTTTTTCACACATGTGCAGACATCAGGCACCTCATAGAATGCATTATTGGGCATGAAATATGCATCCGTAAGCACTTGCATTTATTGGTGAACAGTATTTTAGCACACTACATGCTAATTTAATCATTTACAGCTCATTTAGATTGTGCTGTTCAAGGGCAAAATCAGTCAAATTTTATTTTTGCAGGACTGCTGAGAATGGTTTTTATAAAGAAATTCACATAACTGTTCTCTGGCCACACCAATGAGTTATCACACAGATCTGGCTATTTTTCATGAGATAAATGAAATCTAAGCCTAGTAATTTTATTTAATGAGGAGGTAAATTATGCTCATACAGTGCAGCTAGCACTATCCAGTACCATTGTATTTGTATCATACTTGTATTGCAGTGTCATGCCAGCTCTTGAGAAAACTGGCCAGGTCTACATGTAGATTCTGATTTGTTCTGCTTGACTCCCATCTATTGCATGTATGTTTTTAGCTTATTTAGATGGGGTGATGAGCTTGGATACATCCCTGAAATGCAACTGGACACTTGGAAAAACTGGTATCAGGTATTGCAGGCATCAATCATGTCATTGTTTTCAGTGATATGTCAGAATTCGCCCAAATTAGAAGCAATTTGTGTAGTAACAATTTGTATCCACTATATACCATCAAATTCTGTTTTTGCTGGCTGTCAGGTTGTCAAAATACCAGACAGAAGGAAGTGGGAGGGGGGGGGGGAGGGGGGACAAAGGAGTATTAACAAATGCCACACAAAAAAGGCTGTGTGGGTAGCTCAATAGGCTAGCTCATACAGCAAGCATTGCCTACCATGTGCTGTGATCCAAGACAATGGTATAGACAATGATATTACATTTTCTGCAGCCATCATGTCCCATACAAATCACAGCTGTGCCTGTGTGCTGAATGCATTGACAGTCAGTGACAACCTACAGGAGAATAGTTTTGTAGATGTCAGCTGTGTGGCTGTGTCAGCATGTCAGCTTGGGCGGATGCATTGACGATGTGGAGCTTCGGTACCCGCGCCTAACCAAGCATCCCCCGTCCGTCCGCCCGCAGGAGAACCCCTGCCAGCACCCAGTGTTCTTCCTGAAGGACACGTCCTACCCGGACCTGGCGGCCGTCGTCGAGTTCGTCTACAAAGGCGAGGTGAACGTGGCGCAGAGCCAGCTGGGCAGCTTCCTTAAGACGGCCGAGATGCTGCAGGTGCGCGGCCTCACCGGCGACGAGGACGAGGAGGCGCCGCCGACGCCGGCGCACCCCTGGCAGCAGCAGGTGCGTCCGGGCTAGGGCCACTGCCGGTCGGTAGCCGGCGCGGGTCACGGTGTCGCCAGGCCGTGCCGTGAACGGACGGGCCGCTGCCGGTCGGGAGACAGAGCTGCGGGGTTTCGGGCTCCTTGAAGGCTGTGGCGTGGGGCACCGTCGCTGAGTTGGTGCTGACATGTTCCCATGGCTCAAACAGTTCGGGTCATGACTATTGTCGGGCAAAACGTCTGAATGCTGATTTCCGATGCGATACAAAATCTGAGTTGTGGTGACTGTATGGCACCACCTTGCAATGGGGCTCCTAGCCCATGATTGGTGTTCTCTGGGCCGTCTGCAGCACAGACCGCAATGCATCAACATTCGGCACTCAGTCACATCAGTTCTCTAATGGTCCATTTCAAATAAATGCATTGAAGCAGCTGAGAGTCCCTTTCACCTCCAGCGTTTATCTTTGTATTGTTCTTCCGCTGGATAATTCTGGCTGGGTATGGGGACCGCGCCCCTGCTTGCCTCAGCGCGGGCTCCGGGTTACTCTGGGCGCGCGTTTGCAGAAGTCTCCGGCGCCACCGCGGCCGCCGGCGCGGCCTGCGGTCAGCTCGGCGCTGCAGCAGCAGCTGAACTCGTCCGTGGGCGGCCGTCCGCGGCCCAGCTCGCCTCCCAACAAGCGACGCCGCGTCTCTTCCTCGCCGGAGCGGCCGACCGCGCCGCCGCCCTCTTCCTCCGGCGGCGGCGCCGGGCCGCCGGCCGCCTCGCCCGCCGCCGCCCTGCCGGCCGGTCTGGCTCCGCCGCTGTCGCTGGCGTCGCCTCTGCCGCCACCGCCGCCTCCGCCGCCGGCGGCGGCACCGGCCGCGCAGCCGGAGCTGCCGGCGCGGACGGCCGGCGGTCCGGAGCGGGGCGCCGCCGAGCCGCCGGCCTCGCCGGCCAACGACGAACGGCCGCTGCCGCCGCCGCCGCTGGCGCAGCCGCGGCAGGACTACATCAAAGTGGAGAAAGTGGACCTGGCGGACGAGGACGATGAGAGTTTAGAAGCGACGTTTAGCCAGGTGTCGAGCTTCGAGGCGGCGCAGTTCGAGGGCTCGGACCAGTCTACCGGCTCGCACGATATGGCCGGCCTCCTCAGCAGGGTATCAGAACAGGGTAGGTCACGGGACACGCACGACGGCCACTTCGCCTCCGGCGTCGTACGGTCTGCACTGATTGTGTGCGCTTCATGCGGCTTGCATGCGCGCTTGCCTTACGCCGTCCAGCGTCACGTGTTATGTGGCGTGTGTTTCAGGTCGATGCCCCTCTGCACAGTTAACCAGTTGTACGTGATGCGTGTGATCGCTGTATATCGCTGGCAGCAGAGGGCGAGATGTCACGTCACGGTTGTTGGTTTCATTTGTTGATTCTGTCTGCCCGGCTAACTTTCCATGAAAGCCAGCGCTCTATAACTCGACCAGGAAGTGGGTGGCGTTGATACCGGCCGCCATGTGGATGGCGTGTGTACATATCGCGGTTGCGTCTTAGTCTGCTGCGCGTGACCCTCCCTGTTGAAGTGTGCCCCTCTCGGCAGGTATCGGAGACATGTCGGCGATGGCGGGGCCCTCAGAAGACGGCGCGTCACAAGGTTAGCTCTCATTTCTCTATTTTGTCACAGGTGATGCTCAGACCCCAAACGGCGCGGCGCGAGGGGCTGGGAGGGCGGACGTGATCGGCTCGCGGGGGCGGCCGGATACTCGTGCGTTGCGAGCGGCTCCGAGGGCAGGGCTTGCGACCGAGGGCGTGGGAGGATGTCGCGCTCTCTGGCAGGGCACGGCAGCGTGATCTTCAGATGGGCTGGGCGGTCTTCGACGCGCGGACAGCCTAAGTAGGGGGTGGGAAGTGGGGAGGGGCGGCGAAGAAGCAGTCGAAGGCGCTGTGGCCGCCCGTAGTCAGAGTGCCACATGGCGGCCGACGCCAGAAGTTGGAGCTGCCGGTAAGCTTGCGTAAACAATGTGCAGTAGCGACCTCAATGTCACGAGTTATTTAAGATGCTCTGTACGTCCGCCGGTGTGTAGTACTACGCGTGCAGTTTGGCACGGCGTGTAAATATAGGCTGTACGGGATTATTATCGAATCCGCATGGAGTGTTGATTTCCAACGGCCGGATCACGCACGGGCTGGCGGGGCTCACCCCAAACAAACATTGTTGCATAAGGGTCGTTCTCGTGGGCCATACGGAAATTGGCAGGGCTCATCAGTGCAGGTAATCACAAAGCGCTAGTAATCTAAGTAGTGTAGCGATCTCTCGCGTCCGTGCTTTCTCTCGCGGCTCACCGGTTTATCGGCGCCACGGTGAGACGTGATGTCTGCAGTCCACATCCGGGGCTAGCAAATCAAGCGGCCAGGTTTTCGCGCGTCGGGCACATTGGTGCAGCCGTATAGTGTCATGCGTCGGTATTCATCGCACGGTCCGTGGCGACTTCGGCACCGAGGAATGTGCACGTGCATTGCTGGCCTAGTATGGGTAGCGAGGGCGCGCGGGGACGGGTGTGCAGTGTTCAGTGGCACCGGATACAGAGTTCGGACGTTGCTCCGTGATGGCGCTGACGCGGTGCGGAACTTGGGCATGACGGCCGGGGCCAGTCGTGCCGTGCGCTGGCGGTCGGACAAGGCGCTGTTCCCGCGTGAGAGTCGTTTTTATTTTAATCAAACGTTAGTGAGGACGCAGATATCGGGAGCCGTTTGTCTGGCCTTTTGCGCCGCGTTTGTTGCGTTCTTTATTATTTGATATGAATGATCAGCAGCAGTATGAAATACGCCACTAAATGATGTAATGATATAATAATAAATGCGCCGTGGTGATGTACCCCACTATGTTCCTCGGCGGTACTTGCAAGTAGATCGCGGGGGCGTGTTCCAAATTTCACGCGTGCCACGGACGTCGCGATCGCTATGTTGGTGACTGACAGTCCGCTAATGCCGGGCGATTGGTCACGCACGTTATCGCTGGTTAAAAAGCACAATAGGTCAGAAGTTTGCTCGCGCATCTTCGCAATAGCACTGCCAGGGCGTTCTGCAGACCGGTGTAACCGCCGACGACGTGTTAGCATTGGGTATTTGCGGTCGCGATTCGCGCGATATGTCTCAGCGCCGGTATTGGTGGGGGTCCCGAGCATCACCTGTCGACACACTTGTAGCGCTAGACTGTTGTTGGTATTCTCGTACACCAATCCAGGACTGCACCAGCTGCTAACGTAACGGTAACGCTCGTAGGTAACGTAACGGTAACCGGTCCTGGGGACGGCCTGAGTTTGATAAGCGCTTGTGTGGAGTGGAACATGGAGCCTGTGTTTGGGTTGGGAATGTTTGAAATTATCGACAGTGAATTTCTGACGTTGATGCAACCTGCAAAGTTCTGTTCGGACGCAAAGTCGAAAGCACAATTCCACATTTGGGTAGCGAGCCGGCCGGCCGTCCCGAGACTGAGTCTGGTGTGGAACACCGCTCGGGTCCAGCCTGGTTGGGTCAGGTCAGGTCAGGCGGGTTTCTGCGTCTTGGTGCCCAGTGCGAGAATACCAGCAACGCTCCGCTCACTGCTGTAGCCTGTGCGCCACGTGTCGGCCGTTCACGTGGCCGCCACGGGCCCGTGCCGGCGGCCGGTCCGGCTCTGGCGTCGCCGCGCCGCGCGGCTCGCTGCGAGGCGCTGCGCTTCGGGCGGCGCCGACCCGGCCCGTCGTCGTCGTCGTCGGGTCGCAGCGGCGTACCAGCGTCGTCCGACTCCTCGCTCAGCGTCGCTGCTGCCGCTGCAGGGTGGCCCCGCTGCGGCCGGTCCACCTGAGGTGTGACCGTCGGAGCGCCGAGGTCGGGGTGCCGCTCGCCGTCGGGGTGACGGCCCCAGGTCGGCGGCGTCACGGTGTGCGGGCGTCCCGTGAGCGGGTCCACAAGCTCGCGCCGAGGGCGGGCCGCCTGGCCGCCCGCTTCGCCAAGACCTCGTCCCGAATCTGCCGGCGATAGCGTTGCGTACTGACGTTGGCTGCGCTGCTGTTGACGGAACAGCGCGTGTCGTTGCGGCCGCCTGAGTGGCGCGCTTCAGTGCAGTGCAACTGATTTTTGCTGCGCGCTTGGTCCCCAAATACCGATTTTCATCGCAGTATGCTGGCATTTACCAAGTTGGACGGGGGTCATCACCTGAAAAGGTGAACACAGAGTGAATGCTACGGAGGAATGACGTGACCAATGCCAGTGATCCCTTGCGAATCGGGCAACATACCATTGAGGCGCATTGAGCGAAGATGAAGAGCGTGTGCTAGGACGTTCAAATGAAGGTGTTGGCGAGAGGCAGCGTCGATGAGGCTTGCAAAAGATCCCTTCAGCTGATATTCTACTTAGACATAACCGATCGTGAGATCGCATAAACGAACGTTGGCTTGGCCATTTCGAAATAGCCTGCGGCCGGGGGCGGCATAATAACGTCTGCGCCCGGAGAGGGCGGCCTGCGCTGGTGCGGCGGCGTCTGAGCGGGGAGCGGGGAGCGGGCAGCCCGCTCTGGCGCCCCGTCGGCTGACACCCGCTGTGTGTGTGTTATAGGGGCGCCGCGCAGCTACCTGTGCCCGTTGTGCGGCCGCGAGTACACCAACCACCGCTCGCTGGATCACCACATGCACGTGCACACGGGCAAGACCACGTGTCTGGTGTGCGGCTCGGTGTACGGCCGGATCGGCACGCTGCGCAACCACGTGCAGCAGCGGCACCCGGAGGCGGCGCACCTGCTGGCGCAGCTGCTGCCCGGCCGGCCGGCGCCGCCGGCGCCCCCGCCACCGCCGCCGCCGCCTCCTCCGCCGCCGGCGCTGGGCTGAGGCTGAGGCTCGGCTCGGCGACTGTCGTGTGCGTGCGGGTCGGAGCCGAGCTCTGAGGGGACTTGGCGGCGCTGGAGCATCGGCTGAGTGACGGGGCGAGCCGTCATGGGACGCCGACTGGCTCGCGGCCAATGCCGGACGAACGGCAGGCGCTGGATTCTGGCGTATGCGACGTGTCTTGCTGATGAGCCTGGGCACCGCTAGCTCTGGTCGGAAGGGGACGCTGGTCTAGTTTTGTACCGCAGGCGGCCGAAGTGTTCTGTTTCATTGTTCTCGTTGCCGGCGCCGGCGTATTCTGGTGGCACTTCTGGTGACTAGGCAGGGTCGCGTCATGGGTCGAACACGGCCTCTAAGCTTCGAATGCCGATCTGAGAGAATTCGTCCATGGATCATGGCTCGGTAACTGGACCGGTGGTTGACACTCTACGTGCTCAGAGATCAGCGGACGTCATTGTGACGCTGGAAATCACGGGGGGGGGGACCATGACTGGGACTCTAATTCTGCTGGGTACCACTGGGTGAAGCAGTCATGTAGAAGGCCTTTAATGTACCAGCCAAGGTGTTTCTGCCCCCTGAAGTCGTTAGTCCGTTCTGTAGTAAATAGCGCCTCGTTAGGTCGTAATATGCAGTCATCTCTCCTGTGTAGTCCGTAGTACGTAAGGCCTGAGTCGGTCGGCCGGTGTCCATTCCACTATTGCCGGACGTCTGGACGTTGCCGGCGAAGCGAAGGGTCATGCTTCCGTCAGCTGTCAGCGCGCGGTGTGAACGCGCTGGCGATGCTGATCTGGCCGCCGCCGAAATAAATGTGATCGGGTATAAACTGTATGTCGCCTAGCCACGGCGTGCGTCCGGCGGCGGCTACCGGCGGAGAGGCTCTGGCTGCCAGCGAAAGAGAGACAGGGGGAGAGGGCGCCGGCCGGCCTCAGTCGGCCGCCGTGCTCAGAGGGAAGAGGGGGCGCCGGCCTGGCTGGGTCGGCCACCGTGCTCAGGCTCAGAGGGGAGAGAGGGCGCCGGCCGGGCTGGGTCTACCGCCGTGCTCAGAGGGGAGAGGGGGCGCCGGCCGGGCTGGGTCGGCCGCCGTGCTCGGAGGGGAGAGGGCGCCGGCCGGGCTGAGGTCGGCCGCCGTGCTCAGGCGTCGGTCTGGCGTGTCTTTCAGAGGTGTTCCGGTGTGCGGTGTGCCCGCAGTGGTTCCGCACCAAGAAGTCGCTGAGCTACCACAGCGCCGTCCACGCGGGCAGCACGCGCTGTCCCGTCTGCCACCTGGTGCTGTCACGAAAGTTCGCGCTCAAGCGCCACCTGGCCACGCACCACGCCGCGTCGCCGCTGCCGCCTCGGCCGCCGCCGGCCGCCGCGGCCGACTCGTGGCTGGCGCTGACCGAGACGCGCCCGCCGCCGCAGCGCCTGTAGGGAGAGTCCCGGCGCTGGGCCGGGCTCGTGAGGCGGGCGGGCGGGCGGCAGATGGGACGGTGCAAGTCTGGCGATCGGGACGAGAAGTTCGAGTTATGTTCAGTGTTCTAGCGGGCGGCTGGGGCAACCGTCGGCCGGGAGCTCAGAGTCTGAAGTGTCCGGGTGTTTTTGATGCATGGGTGGGATGCTGAGAACAGGAATGTATCTGAGCAGCAGCCCAAGAGGGACTCGCAGGGGCCCTGTTTAGCACCGCCTTCCTCATTCTTTCCGTCCTTTAGTCAGTTGTCAGAGTCGTCTGTTGTCTGTTGCGTTCTACCCCGCTCCCGTGGTGGCTGTAATACAGTGTTGTGGTCAGGGCGAGTTTTTGGGCAGACGGCCTTCTAATGGTACCGTGACGCCCCGGCCACCTGGCTGTCGTGACGGCCGGTGCTGTCGGTTGTTTTTTGTTTGGGACGACTCGGCCAGCTGTTGGGCCCTGCGGCCGATCTTGGCCCGGGCGCAGGCCTCGGCCAGGCTCGACGGGTCGAGCCGAGCCGATGGCCGGAGCTTCGGTACCGCGATTCCTGCAGATGCTGGAGTAATGCAGTGCCAGACTGCTGATGTCAGACAGTGTTGGTCTGCATTGCACGCGTTAGTGCGTTGATATCCACTCTGGCGGTGCTAGCTCCCAAGGAGCAGCCTTCATGGGCTTATGTTACCAGTGCCGGTGCGCTCGGCATTGACCTGGCAAGGCTCCGGCGGATGGTCTGGTCCTGTCCGGTCCGTTGGGGCCCCGGCGCCCCACCTCGGGACCCCACTACCGGTGCGGCCGGCAGCGCTGAGAGCCAGCCTCGGCGCTACTCCAGACGACCGCTCACCTAAGCGCATGTCACTCTGGTCAGGAATACATGTACGGAGTTTCGACCAACGCGTTCTCGATTGGCACGGGTTGCGTGAAATTGGCTGGAGCTGAAAAAGAATGAGGGAAATGAGGGATCAGCTGGTGCGAGCCGATTGTCGGGCAGCGGCGCTGATGTCAAACACGATATAGGTTTTTTCTAAATTTGTTGAAAACAAAGAAGCACATTATACGCGATTGCTGACCTCTGACCTTATGATGCGCCATTACCTCAGACGAACGCGTTGACTGGCATGTGAAGCGAAAGGAGTGAAATAATTGCATGAAGTGGTCTGAGGCGAGGTAGCGACCACCAACTAGGCAGACAAGCCATATACAGATGGAGAGGAGCCAAGCGTGCGCGGGGACGCGTTCGGCTGGCTGCAGCGTCGACTGAGCCCGCTCCGGTCGCTGGGCTGTCTGGTCAGCCTCCAACGGGCGTCTCCTGTTTGCCGCAGGGCAAATATCGGCCTGGCCGGCCGGCCGGAGCGCGGCCGTCGCCGCCGCCGCCGCCGCCGAGTACCGGTGCCCGCTCTGCCAGCGGCTGTACGCCCACGAGAACTCGCTGCGCCAGCACATGAAGGTGCACACGGGCCGCACGCGCTGTCCCGTGTGCGGCCGTGTCATGGCGCGCGTCGCCACGCTCAACGAACACATGCGCACGGCCCACCCGGCCAGCCAGCTGGGCGCCCATCGAGCCAGCTAGACGTGCTGGCGGGGACGAGCGAGCGCGGCCGCCGGGACAGCCAGACGTGCTGGCGGAGACGAGCACGGCCGGCGGGACAGCCAGACGTACTGGCGGGGACGAGCACGGCCGCCGGGACAGCCAGACGCGCTGGCGGGGATGAGCAAGCACGGCCGCGGGGACAGCCAGACGTGCTGGCGGGGATGAGCAAGCACGGCCGCCGGGACAGCCAGACGTGCTGGCCGGGATGAGCAAGCACGGCCGCCGGGACAGCCAGACAGACGACGAGCTACAAGAGCTGCGCTGAAAAGGACTGGCGTCAGGGTGCGGAGCATGTGTGAGCGTGATGTATTTTACAAATCCACTGCTTGTGACCGGCGGTTTGCCGACGTGGCCTCCCCGCCTGTACAGTGGACGTCGCCGTGCGCCCGTAAAATTCTCTGCGTAGTACGGAAGGAATGCTGTCAATACACAGTCGCGTCCTCGAAAGGCCAGAAGTCGGCTCCGTTTGGCAAGCGCTTGTGTGGCATGGCTTTTTAAAAGCTGGGACGGACTCAGCGGGGGCGGCGCCTGGACGGGCGGCAGTGATGCACCGTCCAGATCAGCGCGCCTGAAGACAGACGGAGCCCAGCGTGCCCCGGGGGCGCTCCTGGAGACAGACGGAGCCCAGCACGCCCAGGGGACGCTCCCGGAGACAGACGGGAGCCCAGCACGCCCAGGGGCGCTCCCGGAGGCGTGTGTGTGTTTGAGTGGCGGGATCGGCGTGTGTCCGATGTGTGTCCTGCTCGCCGTTCAGCGGCAGGGCGTCACGTGCCGGCGGGGAGGTGATTGACGCGGCCGCTGCCCGGCCGCCCTCTCTCGCCACGGCTGCCGGCCAGGGGAGGGGTGCGAGGGGTCACGTGGTCGGCGGGAGGACGTCATGTGGCGAGAAGTGGTTCGCTAGCGTGACAGGGGGCTCTGTCAGCCAGATTTGCGTTGCGTTTCGGGGAGGCGTCTGTTTTTTCCATGTCGACGTCGATACGCTCACGTCGAAGTCGATCGGAAAGACATCTCGCCGGAAGTGTTCTTCGTTGCTGTTTATTGAAGGCATTTTCCGGTATAACAGGCTTTGTCCCTATGTGCTATGCCATTTGTGTGTATTTGCGTACCCAATTTTACATTGTTTATAGTTTCGTCAGTTCTCATAAGAATACATGTTTCGCTTCCCCTCATGATTCCGGAGAAGCGTCGCGCACCGAGAGCAGTAGTCCACGCGCTGCTGCGTATTTCCTTTGTTGTCATTGAAAGCCATGATTAGAATAGCGGTGGAAATAATGACTGCGTTCTCTCGGAGGCCAGGTTAATTGTGCACTTTTAGAATGTACACTGCACCAGCTGACGATCAGAGGCCATCGAATTACTGCCCCGGCGTGGGGCAACGCTGTGGAATACCAAATCTGCCAACGGACTGGCGCGGCTTCCGGCAATCACCAGCCCACCTGGAGCCTGCGAGGTACGCTCGCTCAGCCGTGTCCGCGGTGGTAGGCCAAGCCAGCCGGTCAGCAGGCGCTGAGCTCCTTCATACTGGAGCCGGCGGTGGCTGGCTGCTGGCACGACCCGGCGTGGATGGAAGCGTTGGCTGCGATGGAAGGGGTGGCGCGAACAGGTGGAGCGGCAGGCGAGCCGCCGCCGGCGGGTCCCTTCCGTGGCGTGTCCGCTGCGGCGCCGGGCCGCCGATCGGCTCCGGGCAGCGCCGGCCGGCCGGCGGCAGCCCGCACATCAGCCTCAGCCGTTGCGCTGTGGCATCAGGCCGAGTCCAGCTGAGAACGGCACCCGCTGCCCGGCGCGATGCAGCCGAGTGCATACGCGGGATGGCTCGGACTGGACGCTGCAGAGCGCCCGGTGCTGACGGCGCGGGCGCAAACAGATATGGTCCTGCCCGGTCCGGTCCGGTCCAGCCCAGTCCAGTCCAGTTCAGTCTGGCCCGGTCCGGTCCGGTCCGGTCCGGTCCGGTCCTGTCCGGTCCGGTCCGGTCCTGTCCGGTCCGGTCCGGTTCGGTTCGGTTCGGTTCGGTTCGGTTCGGTCCGGTCCGATCCGATCCGATCCGGTCCGGTCCGGTCCGGTCCGGTCCGGTCCGGTCCGGTCCGATCTGGTCCGGTCCGGTTTTTGATCCAGTCTGATCAGTTGGCCCGGTGAGGCTGTGTGCTGACACTGTGTGCCCGTTGATCTCAGCAGGGTACGGCGGGCGGGCGGGTGTGGTCCGGTCGGTCTGGTCTGGTCTGGTCTGGTCTGGTCTGGTCCGGTCCGGTCGGGTCTGGTCTGATCTGATCTGGTCTGGTCTGGCCCGGTGCGGCTGTGTGCTGACGCTGTGCCCCGGCTGGTCTCGGCAGGGTACGGCTGTCCAGTGTGCGGGCGCTGCTTCAACTCGCAGCAGGGCATCCGGCGGCACGAGCTGGTGCACCAGGGCCGCACCGTCTGCCCGGTGTGTGGCCGCGCCTTCAGCCGTTCCGACAGTCTGCGCCGCCACCTGCACATGATCCACGGCGGCGCCGGCGCGCCCGGACCGCCGCTGACCCCGGCTGACCTCACCTGAGCGCGCAGCTCACCTGTACCGGGCGCCGCTGGGGCTGAGCTCGCCTGAGCGCGCAGCTCACCTGTACCGGGCGCCGCCGGGGCTGAGCTCGCCTGAGTGCGCAGCTCACCTGTACCGGGCGCCGCCGGGGCTGAGCTCGCCTGAGTGCGCAGCTCACCTGTACCGGGCGCCGCCGGGGCCGAGCTCGCCTGAGTGCGCAGCTCACCTGTACCTGGAGCCGCCGGGGCTGAGCTCGCCTGAGTGCGCAGCTCACCTGTACCGGGCGCCGCCGGGGCTGAGCTCGCCTGAGTGCGCAGCTCACCTGTACCGGGCGCCGCCGGGGCTGAGCTCGCCTGAGTGCGCAGCTCACCTGTACCGGGCGCCGCTGGGGCTGAGCTTGCCTGAGTGCGCAGCTCACCTGTACCGGGCGCCGCTGGGGCTGAGCTCGCCTGAGCGCGCAGCTCACCTGTACCGGGCGCCGCCGGGGCTGAGCTCGCCTGAGTGCGCAGCTCACCTGTACCGGGCGCCGTTGGGGCTGAGCTCGCCTGAGTGCGCAGCTCACCTGTACCTGGAGCCGCCGGGGCTGAGCTCGCCTGAGTGCGCAGCTCACCTGTACCTGGAGCCGCCGGGGCTGAGCTCGCCTGAGTGCGCAGCTCACCTGTACCTGGAGCCGCCGGGGCTGAGCTCGCCTGAGTGCGCAGCCCCGGGGCTGAGCTCGCCTGAGTGCGCAGCTCACCTGTACCTGGAGCCGCCGGGGCTGAGCTCGCTAGAGCGCGCAGCCCACCTGTACCTGGCGCCGCCGGGGCTGAGCTCGACTGAACGCGCAGCTCACCTGTACCTGGCGTCGCCGGGGCTGAGCTCACCAGAGCCGGCTGGCCTGCTCACCTCCACTAGTCGCTGGCTGGGCGGGTCGCTCGCGCCGGCGGACGGGAGGGCGGCCCGGTCACCAGCCAGGCGCCGGTGGACGGGAGGGCGGCCCGGTCACCGGCCAGCGCCCCGGCGGAGGCCAGAGACTCGCGCCGACCAGAGCTGTGCGGTGGTGGCCAGGAGCGGAGCCATGGCTGAGGCGGCGGGCCTGGGCCTGATATACGCGGAGGCCTCTAGGCTCACGGCGCTCCCAGTGTCTTAGGGCTTCTTCGCCCTGCGTGGAACGGGTGGCGGCCGGTTTTGAACGGCCACAGATGTGTTCGGAAGGCTTCTCTGTGGCAGCGTTTTGTCGCTGTCAGGTACTTCTTCACCGAAATGAGATAATCGCCAGTTGGATTCTGTTTGATAACTTCAAGTGCGAAGTTTGAGAAAGGTTGGATAATTACAAGTAGCTCTGTTACCTGTACGTGGCAGTCACCGAATGTAGGTAATTGCTTTGAACCCAGATGTGTTGCCTCAGTGATTTTTGTTCTGTTTTTATTTGGCGCATGTAATCAACGCATAGGATGAAATACAGTCATTTTACACTGTCAATAATGCGTTCCGGAACGGAGAAGATGGCTGGGCGCTGGCGACCGACCATTCGCCTAGCGGGAACCAGGATGAGGAAGCGGCGCATTTGCCACCGGGCGGCCGCCCAGTGTAACGAGGTGGGCACCTAAGGGGCGCTTGGTGCTGGCGGTGTTCAACGTCGGGCGGACACTCACGGCGCCCCGGACAGGTCAACCGCCCCTCAAACGTGCCCGCGGGTGGCGTCCCCTAAGGTTTCACTCGTTTGCCGCCGACATCATGCCGTACCGGAAGCGGCTAGTCTGTTCTTGGCTGCTGAGGACAACGGGCCACAGTAGCTCGGAGTCAATTTGGAATGTTCCAACGCTTCTTATCTTCTATTCTCAAATGACGTGGCCCGGGCGCGAAAGGAACGCACGGCATTGTCCTTGCGGATGACTGAGTCCGCATGGACGTCGCACGGCAAGTTAGCGGCAGCTTCCTGAATCCGTCCAAGTGATCGATGCGGCGCGAAATGTCAGGCATGGCACACAGTTTAACAGGAAGCCTGGTCACAACAGCCCAGGCGGCTTGTTACCAGCCCCCTCATAGGACGGCTGTGGCCAGTTGACAATAGCGACAGGCGTGAAGGGTCGGCGCTGCAGTTTGTGACAATGGCCGGCGGGACCTATGCTCTGCGTGGTCCGTGCATGGACATGCAGCCGTCATGAGACGGAGCGGTCGGCATGTGGCGGCCGCGCTTGGTCGCGGGCAGGCGCCGGGCTGTCGGCGACCCGTCTCTATCAGCGGCGGCGGCGGCGGCGGTTCGGCAAGCGGACACGGCTCTGGCGCGCGCGGCGTCCGACAGCGCGTTTGACGGCCGCCCGTCTGTTCCTCAGGTGGGCGGGCGGCGCGGCCTGTGCTCAGCTGCGAGTACTGCGGCAAGGTGTACCACCACGTGAACTCGCTCTCCGACCACCGCACGCTGCACCGCGGCCTCACCACCTGTGGCATCTGCGGCAAGGTGTACAGCACCAAGTCGACGCTCACGGCACACGTGCGCCGCGTGCACAAGCGGCCGGCGGCCGGCGCCGGCCCGTGACGCGCCCGCCCGGGCGGTCACGTGACGGGCGCGGCCAGGTGGCGCCGCCGGCGGGCGATGTGTGCCGCGCGCGGGTCCGGCGTCGGTCGTGTCGCGTCGCGGCGGGGCCTCGGGGCGGCGGGCGGCCGCGTGGCCGGTCGGCTTGCGCGCAGGCTCGGGGCGGGAGCGGAGCTTCTGGGCGGGGCGGCGGCCAGCTGCGGCGGCGTCCCGGCTCGGGGCACACTCCGGCGGCGTCCCGGCTCGGGGCACACTCCGGCGGGGCCCCGGCTCGGGGCACACTCCGGCGGGGCCCCGGCTCGAGGCACGCTCCGGCGGCAGGCACGCTCCGGCGGCGTCCCGGCTCGGGGCACGCTCCGGCGGCGTCCCGGCTCGGGGCACACTCCGGCGGCGTCCCGGCTCGGGGCACACTCCGGCGGGGCCCCGGCTCGGGGCACACTCCGGCGGGGCCCCGGCTCGAGGCACGCTCCGGCGGCAGGCACGCTCCGGCGGCGTCCCGGCTCGGGGCACGCTCCGGCGGCGTCCCGGCTCGGGGCACACTCCGGCGGCGTCCCGGCTCGGGGCACGCTCCGGCGGGGTCCCGGCTCGGGGCACGTTCCGGCGGCGTCCCGCTGCTCGCGTCAGCCCGACGGCTGGGACGGGGCGCGCCGTGGCCCGCGGCGCCTCCCCACGCCCAGCGGTTTGTGTCTCCCATCAGGACAGGTGCGCAGGTCGCGCGCGACACGGCTCGCGCTGCTCGCGGGGGGGCGGCGGCTGCCTGCCTCTGCGCAAAGTTGTGATGTCTTTGTGGCTGGGCGGCGGGCGGCCCCGTACGTCTGGCCGGTGACGGCGGGCGGTCCCGTACGTCTGGCCGGTGACTGTTTTGTCGCAAAGCACCAGATTTACCTCGGTCGGTTAGGAAGGTACATGGTATTTTCATACGTGTAGTGGGTGGGCTATTTATCGCCGTCTGGTCGTAGTTGAGCAAGGAGTGGCGGTGTTGCTAAGGGAGAATGTTTATCGGATCGTGTATGTTCCATGTTACGTTGTGATGGTGCGCACTGGCGAGTGCGGGTTTTGAGTTGGGATTTGAAGAACTGGCGCAATACAATGGCGGCCAGGTGCGGTGTGTGGAAGTAAATAAGAAGAGAGGATGGAAATTGATTTTGACGTTTGTCAACTATGCCCACGTCCGTCCCAACTCTCGGATATCACTCGGACTCGCTTCTGGTGTGTGTTGGCGACAAAATATTTTCAGAAGTTGTCACAACCATCAAGAAATACATTTTCTACGTGGGGTTGCCGGTGGGGTAGTGGTTGCGCGTCTGCGCTAACCACTGCGCGTCTGGGAAACCAGAGGCACGGGGTTCGATTCCCCGCTGTGCACGCCCTTCCTGCCGGGGTGAGAGGCAGGCGACGCCATTTCGCCTCAGCAGCTGATTGCGTGGTAAAGCCACAATCAGGGTGACGGGACCAGGTACGGAATGGCGTGTTATTGAATGAAAAGGTATCCGAACGCAAGTGAACAAAATGCGAACGAGATAGCGTTGAACGGCGAACTATTGCTAGGATAGGTTTCAAGGTGTGTAAGCGGATAATTGTCTCCCAATTAGCGAAATGTGGGCAGGATAAATGTCGGCAGCAATGAAGATCTAAATGGAAGGTGATTGGGTGACGAAACACAGACAGAAATACCTGTCGATTGATCGTTTATCGAGATATCGAAGAGATAGCGTTCAGCGGGCATGCCCATGGAAGTCGGAGACGCATTGAGTTGCCCAGAAAACCGCCGATGTCTACGCTAATAATAGCCCGAGGCCGATAACGAAATGAAAAGCGGACGGCTGGCGAGCTGGCGTTTGGACGAGCGTCGTTATGTACAGAATGCAAGGCGTGCTCGCTTGCGACAATGCCAACATCGCTTAAATTACACGAGCGAGGTAAGGTCTGTGTGGCTGCCTTGCAGTTCCGCGCTATGCACGGGAGCGGGTGCATCATGACTGACGAAGAAATGCATTGCTTTTCTTTGTTCCTAAGACTTGCTTGTTTGCTACCATTGTCTCTTCGCGGTGCATTCCGACACGGCGACACAAAGAATGCTTTTGGCGCTGGATGTCCCTATGTGCAGATGTTGGTGGCAGTGTTTTAGTCTCGAACTTCCCGTACGTAACTATAAAATACCATTCGACTGCTAAATATGCGAAATGGGTGCGTAGCGCGCCACCCATCCTTACGACCAAGCGCCGAATTCTATTGAATTATGAATATTGCTCAATAGCTACGTTACTTCATATTTTACCAAGACATGTTAGGTTATCGTACTATTGTTGTTCATCCAAAGTTTTGATTGGTGTATACAGCTAATCATACACTACATAATGATTTGCGGGTCATTTGGGAGGCCGTGGTCAGCTAACAACAGACCAACTTACAATTGCCAATGCTGGACCATGGCATTGCAGGCTCCTTTTTTTAAAGATACAGCCATCATTGCGTCTCAGGCCGAGTTTCTGGGATCGCCGCTTATCCAGATTGGCCAAACTGGTGCGTTGCAAAACACAGTCGCGGCGTAAGACAGACGCCCTTGATAGCTTTCCTAAGCTGCTTAAACTTGTTAAACGGGTGTAGTGCTCCGGACCGTCGGGTATGATTCACCCACTGGTGTTCGTGTCGGGATACGTTTCCTGAGATGAGGGGTCCTTTTTACGCAACACAGACTGAGATCAACTCACGACATGTCATCGTTGCCCATAGGCAAAAACATGCAAATGAATTGTAATTAATGCAGCCCGTCTCTGAGTGCGCGGGTCTTTTTGGGCAGTCTGTAAATGCGCGGTTCTACTGTCGTTGCCTGCTGGTTGGCTCTGGTGTGGCTGCCGGCTGGCTGGCTCTACTGTGGCTGCCGGCTGGCTGGCCCCGCCGCCGTCCGCACCTGTGCGTGGCGTCGGTCGCTGTGTGGGCGGTGGCTGAGTGCGCGGCTCTGCTGTTTTCTAGGCGTGCGCCGCGCGGCGCCGGCGCCGGCCGCCGCTCGGCTGACCTGTGAGCTGTGTGGAAAGGTGCTCCGCAGCGAGGCGTCGCTCTCCAACCACCGCTCCATCCACCGGGGCAGCACGCGCTGCCACCTGTGCGGCGGCGTGTACAGCACCATCTCGGCGCTGCGCCGGCACGTGCGCATGTCCCACGCCGAGCAGCAGCCGCCGCTGCCGACCGCCGGACCGCCGCCGCCGCCGCTGGGGCCGCCGACTGACCCTCGTCACGCGGGTGCTGTACGGCCGCCGCCGGCGAGCGTCGCCGAGCAGCGGTCGGCGCTCGGATGAGCGGCGCCGGAGCAGCGGTCGGCGCTCGGATGAGCGGCGCCGGAGCAGCGGTCGGCGCTCGGATGAGCGGTGCCGGAGCAGCGGTCGGCGCTCGGATGAGCGGCGCCGGAGCAGTGGTCGGCGCTCGGATGAGCGGCGCTGGAGCAGCGGTCGGCGCTCGGATGAGCGGCGCCGGAGCAGTGTCGCGGCCGCTATGACGCCGGTGGGGAGTCGGGGCGGCGGCGGTGCGCTGTACGCATGAGCGGCAGCAGAGCTCGGGGCGAAGCTGTGCCCGCCGTGGAGACAGGATCGGCACAGGCCGGCCGGTGACCGGGGTATGGTCTGGACGGAACACGGCTGGGAGGCGGCGGGGAGGAGCGCGCGGACACAGCGCCGGCGCCGGACTCGGCCGCACGCGAGAGGACGATGGTGAAGTCTGGCCTTGTGCCGGGCGTGAGCGGCCGATGGAAACGTGTCCTCTGTCAGAAATGGAGGCACGGTCAAGTCCGGGGCGTCGGTAGTTGGGTCCTCGTATGTACAGCAGCGGTCAGTGTTCAGCGGGATTGGCGAGCTGTTGTAGAGGAAGTGTCAAGTGGCGGGAGGGAAGAAGCTGCACCGTGGTCAGTGTTGACAGTTCTCGTTGCTTTTCAATGAGAAGGCGAGTTGTGGAGGAAGCCGAGCCGGCGGCCTAAGCGGTCGGGCTGGAGTAAGGCTGAAGCATACGTGAAAGGGACAATAAGAACGTCAGTAGCGGCTAATGTGTCCAGTGGTGGTGTGGGGTCCGATCGTGCCGTTTGTGAGCAGATAGTTGTCAGAACAGCTCTGTTCTACCTTTGCTATGCACTTCATGCAACATCTCTGTGCGTGCGTCCATTTGTGTTCATAAACAATATCACCAAAATATGTGCCTGTCCAGCTGTGGAATAGAAGTGCCAGACTATGAGGGCTGAGGTCGCCCGGCCAGCGGTCGCCGGAGGGGCGATGTGCCTGGCTTACTGGCCGTGCCGTGCTGGCCCAGTCTTCAGAGCGGCCATTGTACCTCACTTATCGTCCGTGTCGTGGTGGCCCGGGCGCCGGAGGGGGCGGTGTGCCCGGTGACCGTTCGTGTCGTGGTGGTCCGAGCGCCGGAGGGGGCAGCGTACCCCGCTGACCGTCCGTGTCGTGGTGACCCGGCCGCCGGAGGGTCAGTGTGCCCGGTGACCGCCCCTGTCGTGCTGGCCCGGGCGCCGGAGGGGCGGTGTGCCCGGTGACCGCCCCTGTCGTACTGGCCCGGGCGCTGGAGGGTCAGTGTGCCCGGTGACCGCCCCTGTCGTGCTGGCCCGGGCGCTGGAGGGGCAGTGTGCCCGGTGACCGCCCCTGTCGTGCTGGCCCGGACGCCGGAGGGGCAGTGTGCCCGGTGACCGCCCCTGTCGTGCTGGCCCGGGCGCCAGAGTGGACCTTCACCAGCTGGCCTGAGAGGCCAGCAGTTGTACTCATGAGCCGGGCAGAGAGCTAGAGATGGGCAGTCAAGAGCTGCTGCTCCTCTCTTGCTGTCGAGTCCTGGTTGGATTCCCTTACTGGTTTGAATAATCAGGTTGTCAAGGTCAGTGCGTTGGTCATTAGAAAAGAGCACCGTTATAAAGAACAATAAAGACAAGAAAGTGAGGGATCTCGTTTTGCCGGGCGTACGATTTCGAAATATTGTTTTTGTCCGTCTTTGTCGCATGAAACATTTACTAAAATTTTCTTGTGGAAAATAACTGCACTTGACGTTGATGTGCAATGTTTTCCCAAAATCGATTGATGTCAATTAACTCAGTCCAAAATCCAAAAGCCTAAATCTAGTCGATTGCTGTCTAGTCTATGTTCAGTGTTGATACCAGCGGTGACAACTGCTTTCAATTTTTAAATTGCTCAATCTTGACGAATTACGCGAGCGGTACCGAAATATTGTGCACACGTAGACGCTGCATGACCCGAAGGTCGACGCGCTGCAAATCTCTGTCATGATCAGGACTGATGCAGAGAAGAGGAAAAAACAGCTGTTTGTCTTCCACGAAACTACAAGACGTACCAGAACAAGACAAGACCGCAAACCACAAAACCGTTGCTCCTAACATCATAGTTGCCCCGTCGTCCAGTGCGCTGGGAAAACCATGGCGATGTGCAGGTCCACTGTTCCATGTAACCCGTGACTAACCGCCTCCACTCACAGCTATATGCTGACCATGTGCCCGACAGTGGCTGTCTGTACAAGGAATATGGCGTTTTAACTTGGGTGCGTCCCAGCACAATCTGAACCCAGTTACGCAGCTAAAGTAATGCTTTAGTGCCACTGGTTTAAGTACATATAATTACAGTGATTGAGAAGCGGCGCTGGCAAAGGAAGCCACAGAGGTTGAAGGCCAATCTGTTTGGTTGATTCTACCGCCATAACCGCTGAGATGAGCCGTGGGGCCGAGTTATCGCACGTTCCCCCTGAGACCGGACACCACTGTGCCAGTTCGGCGGCGTCTTTGCAGCGAAGTATCGCCGGCACAGGTTTCAGCGAGGACAAGCATCGCAATGTATGCAATCGAATGCCAGAATGTGGGCCGGCTAAATGTCGACAGCACTGAGCATCAAAATTGGAAAATGATGGAACGGCGCCAGGTGCCAGCTGTGCATCACCTTTGCGCGGGCACCAGGAGGAAATCATCAGCCTGTTAGATTCTGGTTGAAATGGCCGACACTGGGTAGATTTGTCGGCCCGTACGTTTTTACTTAATCGTTTTCTCGGCTGCAATCGCAGCGCTTGAAGGCCTGTTTGCGGTGGCAGTTGTCGTGGCTGGGCCTTCCACAAGATTACAACTGCAGGACTGTTGAAGTTTTGCGTTCGCCTCAGGCTGAGGTCGCTGTATTGTGTTCTAGGCTGCTCGGAGCCGCCGGAGCCGGGTATTTCGTCTGGTGGCCGCCAGGGGCTGGCATGGGCGCCCGGACCGCTGCCGGGGCCGGCGGCACCACCCAGTCCACATCCGAGACCGTCGGGATCACGCGGTCTGTGCCCAGAACCACTCGGATCGCGTGGTCTGCATCCGGTCCCGTCCGGACCGCCCGGTCTGCACCCGACCCCGCCTGGACCGCCTGGTCCTCGTCCGGGACCGCCCGGTCTGCGGCCGCAGCGGTCCGCACCGCGTCTGGACCTCGCCGGACCGCGCGGTCTGCGCCTGGACCTGCGCGGTCCGCGGCCCGGACCGCCCGGCTCCAGGCGGGCGTCCTCGGAGCACCGGTGCGCCCAGTGTGGCCGGCACTTCGCCAGCGAGGCGTCGCTAGGCAACCACCGGTCCGTACACCGCGGTATCACACGCTGCGGCGTCTGCGGCCGCGTCTACAGCACCACCTCCGTGCTGCACCGCCACGTGCGGCTGGCGCACAGGGAGACGGCCGCCGCGCGGCGGGGCAGTGACGGGCCGGTGTCAGGCCAGTGACGGGCCGGTGTCAGGGCAGTGACAGGCCGGTGTCAGGCCAGTGACGGGCCAGTGTCAGGCCAGTGACGGGCCAGTGTCATGCTAGCGACGGGTCAATGTCGAACCAATTACGGACCGGTTTCAGGCCAGTGACGGGTCAGCGTCAGGCTGGTCACGGTCAGGCCAGTGTCAGGCCAGCGGCGAGTCAGGCCGGTCAGACCAGCGACGGGTCCGTGTCAGGCTTGTGTTAGGCCAATGACGGATCGGTGTCAAGTCAGTGACGAGTCTGTGTCAGGCCGGTACCGAGCCAGTGACGGGTCAGTGTCAGATAAGTCACGATTCAGTGTTAGGCCAACGATAGGTCGGCGTCAGGCTGGTGTTAGACCAACGACGGACCTGTGTCAGGCTAGTGACAGACCGGTGGCGGTCCAGTGACGGGCAGTGTTGGTCCAGGCCGATTGTTGCCGTGTCCGTTCGGGCCACTGGTGACCAGTAATGGTCCAAATCATCCAATGGTCGATCAGCGGCGGTCAGTGACGGGCCGCTCTGTTTAGTGATGGTCATCAGTGGACCAGTCCAGCCTGTTATGCTTAGTGATGGGCCAGCGGTGGTCAGTGACGGACTGCTCTATGTAGTTATGGCTAGCGGCGGGCCAATCTAGCCTGTAATGGTCAGTGATGATCCGGGCTAGGCAGCTGGCGTGGTCCGTGATTGCTCAGCCATCAGGGATGTTCCACTCAGTATTAACAGTCCAGTCACCAGCAGTGTTGATGGTCCATCCACCATCGCCGCTCGGCCCCGCAGCGGTGGTCCGTTCTCAGTATTAACAGTCCAGTCACCAGCAGTGTTGATGGTCCATCCACCATCGCTGATCGGCCCCGCAGCGGTGGCCCGTTTCGGCCAGTAAGAGTCTGGCGTGGTCGGTGACAGTGACAGCGTCGGCCTCGCTGGCGGGCTCGGTCCGGGCAGACCCAGTTCACGGTTTGGGCAGACCCGGTCCGGCCAGTGGCGGTCGCTCAGCGCAGACCAGGTTTGCGGATGCTGCGCTAGGGCCTGCGTGCAGCGCACAGTCTTCACGCCCGACATTGCGGTGGGCACCTGCGAATTAACTATAGAAGTGTTGTCAATGTGTACACAATTGGAACAAGCCGATGACTCGAATACACGAAGCGCACACGCTTCGGTTGAGTGAAGGTAACCCCACAGAGACGAGCTGGACAGTCGCGTTGCTTCTTTGATGTGAACGGCAGACGCCGCTGGAGCTGACCTATATCGGCCGCACCAGATCGCCTCCGGACGTTCTCTCGGCTGAACGGATGCGCAGGTCTGATGTTGACCTTGCACCGTGGCCGGGAATGGCGGACCATTTTCAGTGGCTGTCCGACGTGTCTTCCAACCGACACCAATGATGCGTCCGCAGAGTCGCAATGCAACATTTTGGACGGTTTAAGTCTAGAGATGCAATATGTTGTTCATCATGCTGGATGGACATCTTTTTATGACTGATTACGTCAAAAGTGCATGGTAAAAAAGTACAGAAAAGTAAGAAAAAGTACGCGCATACTTGTATGCAACAGCGACACCACATTTGCCAATTTTCTGCATTTGGAAAGCTCGTGTGGGCCGGAAGCCGGCGATAACCGGGGCCGTATGCACTGCTCAGCTGTGACGTCATGTGCGTTATGCACCCGAGCAGGCGTAGTGTCCTCGACCACAAGCATCGACCGTGGCGGGGTGGCCTGATCAGTGATCGCTCTTGGCCCCGGTGTGTGGCGACTGAGGCTGGCGCCGTGTCTGTGTTGCAGGGTGCCGGTTTCGGTGCGTCGCCTGCCCGCAGAGTTTCCTCTCGCGCGCCGGCCTCAGTCGCCACAAGGCCGTGCACCGCGGCGAGACCGGCTGCCCGGTCTGCGGACGCGTCTTCAGCAACAAGTACAACCTCAATGTCCACATTGCGGCCAAGCACCGGCCGCCGGCCGCAGCGCCGCCCGCCTGGCCCGGCCTCTAGCGGCCGCAGCCGCCGCCCCCGCCCGCCAGGCGGCAGCACCGATTGAGCGCGGCGTGCCGCCAGGTGGCAGCGCGATGCTCCGCCCGGCCGCTGCTGAGGGGCGGCGCTCGGCGGACGGGCGCGGCACGTGTGTCTCGCCTGGACTGGCAACCGGGTGGCGATGCGGCGATGTGTGGACTCAGCTGGAGGTGGTCTGCACGGATTTTTGGAGACCCTGCTGAGCTGACGTATTTTGGACGCGTGGTTTGTTGTAGCGGCTGGTTTTAGCCATCAATTCGTCAGAAATGCATAATACACCGACTGAAGTGTGCTACTGTTTCTGAAGTGCTGACAAGTGACTAGCTGGTGGCTCACTGATGACCGACGTCTTGGACATTGCCGTTGGACAGAGCAGTGGAGGCTGTTGGGGTAGGCGTGAAATGATCCCAAGAGTGCAGTGTCGAATTACAAGGCGAGATGTCTGGTACATAGTAGGGTCGATTGTGATAAGCTGTCAGTGATCTACAAAAATAGATACCTCGCGAATAATATCGCAGACCAAAGTGCTTTGTGTGCCACGGCTCGCCTGGCTTCACTATCCACTGGTCGATTTAGTTGTGCGGCACTATTGATGGCGGCTTTCTCAAGATAGGCAGTCGACACGCGTCTCAGTCTTGTTTACCTTGTGATCGCCTTCCCCTTCCGAGGACTCAGTGACGTATTGTCCCCAGCCGAAGGTCTGAAGTGGGCGACAGCGGATCACATTGGCCTCGCACGGGATGCGGTATCCTAAACGCGTCGCGTGTGCTGAGCTGGTGCGCGCAATGGAACCGTTCCACTTTCGCACCTTCGAATCTCACTGAAGTAAGGCCGTTGAGTTATTGGGAAGAGGAGGTTAGAACGGAAACAAAGGGAATACCATTGCGGTAGCACTTAAAGGCTGTCTAAAACAAGGTTGCAAGGTGTATCGTATGATTTTGCAAACTGTGTCTGTTACAACGACTTCTCATGGCGGTCATCTGTCAGTTAGAATATCACGTAATGACTTGCGGCCACCAGTTGGAGAAACTCTGGAGACAACCTCCCGGTCGATCCCAACTCGTAACCACTGTCGCGGCACGGATATTTCCAACAAGGAACTGACGGACATGGACGGAAGGCTGCCGGTGGTTGCGGTGGCGTGCTGTCGAGCGGCCGCAAGTCGTACTAAAACGGGGGCGCTCAGTTTCCGTGGCGCCCCGTTGACCGGCTGTGTCCGCCGGCGGCGGTGGTGTCTGCGGCATCCGCTGACCGGTTCTTGTTCCCTGCGGCCTGCTATTCGCCGGCCCTGCCCGCCGCCGGTGTCGGTGTGGTCGGCGCCTTGTTGACCGGCCCTATCTGCCGGTAGGCGGCGGCCGGCTGGCGGGCCCTGGCAGCGGCGGCGGCGGCACCCCGCGCGTGCTCTGCACCACCTGCGGCAAGACCTTCTCCAGCAGCACGTCGCTGGCCAACCACAAGCCGCTGCACGCCGGCCACACCACCTGCCGGCTGTGCGCCAAGGTGTACGCCACGCGTCACAACCTGCGCGTGCACATGCGCCGCGACCACGGCGTGGAGCCCGGCGGCGGAGAACCGGGCGGCATGCCGCCACACTGGGCCGGACCCGGCTCGCTGTAGGCGGCCGGCGCCGGACGGCGGTGTGAGAGACCCGCCGGACGGTGGCGAGAGGGCTGGCCTGGGGCCGGCTAGAGACCGCCGCCGGAGCGCGGCGTCTGGAGGAGGCTGTCGGAGCTCGGGTCAGGCCGGCAGGAGACAGCCGGGAGGCTGTCGGAGCTCGGGTCCGGCCGGCAGGAGACAGCCGGGAGACAGCCGGGAGGCTGTCGGAGCTCGGGTCAGGCCGGCAGGAGACAGCCGGGGGGGCTGTCGGAGCTCGGGTCCGACCGGCAGGAGACAGCCGGGAGACAGTCGGGAGGCTGTCGGAGCTCGGGTCAGGCCGGCAGGAGACAGCCAGGAGGCTGTCGGAGCTCGGGTCAGGCCGGCAGGAGACAGCCGGGAGACAGCCGGGAGGCTGTCGGAGCTCGGCGTCCAGTCCTGAGCAGGGTCGCACGTCTCGCCGACTGTTTGACTGGCAGCCCCGCCCATGAGCACCGACCAGTGACAGCCGGTCTGGAGGTCGGAGTTCCGTGAGGCTATGGTCGCGGCTGCGAGGCTGTGCCCACTGCAGCGGGATCGCTGCCGGACGGCGGCGGATGGCTGCACGCTGTTGGAGCTGTTACAGCGCCGCCAGCCCAGTGGTCATCATCGAAGAACGTGTACATAGTGGCATTAGGGGGGTTTGTAGTAGAAAAGCCAACCCTTGAGCGAAATTAATAAAAGCGACGCTCCGCGTGGGTTTTTGTAGTCGGGCAATCTTAAGCCTGCTACATATATTTGTCAACTTTTCACTGTGATCTCAACGCGGTTCTCTGCTGCTTGATATATCCCGAGGCCTTGGCAATCAAATACTGTTTGTTTAGATCGGCTCAGTTCCACGAGAAGTGGTTGAACTATAGGATTCGGAGTTGAAGCAGTTGATTCTTCCTGCCGGCAAAGGCCCATCTGATTCATTGTCCATCTTGGCAGATTTCATGGCACGACGCAGTACGGCGATGGTGTGCATGCGGTTGTTCTGATGGCATCGACTACGTATTGTACATGCGTCTAAATACAATTGTCATCGAACGCGGAGTTTGGCAGGAGGAAAAAGGATTTTAAAAGACTTGTAGCATTCTTCTGACCCCCGGCGATTTGCAGAAACTTGAGATGCCTTGCATTGCAGCTGTAGTGCTGACAACTTTCGCACGTCATTCGTGGTGCCTGAAAAGAGATATAAATAAGCAAGGATTGTCTACTTAAAAGTAAGAGAAGAGATTCTGCGCCGGTAACGGCGGGTTGATTTCCTCCAGTCCCACCCTTGGCCTCGCCTCGGCTGGCAGCACGGCTGGAGTTTACACGACCGTCGCTGAGACAGTCACTGGCGCACCGACCCCGACTGCAGCATGAGCTGGCGCACGCCTGCCCCACGTGACCACCGCCGTGAATACGGTCAATAGGACACGGCTTCCACCGTCGGCCCAGACCGACGACGCGTGATCGCGCCGCTGGTACACGGCCGTGTCACGTGGCTGGTGAGACGCGAGCGCTGCACGCCTGTCTGCCCTCGCGGCGCTGAGAACGGCAGCGGACGCCATCGGCGTGTGGTCTGGAGCGCAGCAGCGGACGCCGCCGCTCTCTTCACACCATCGCCCGACGTCTGAGGTCGCGGGGTCGCTGCTTCTCTGGCTGACTGGTGTCGGCCAGTGGAGCACTCAGCGCGGCAGGGTCGTGCTGGAGACCCGCCGACCCTCCGGGTCCGGTGTGTCCAGCGCCGCGACACGGGCGTGACGCGGGCGGGGCTGACATCTCCCCAACGCTGGGGTGGTGCTCGGGCAGCGGTCCGCTCCTGGCGGCACTGTCCGGCCGTCACTCCTCGGTGATCTGCCGGGGGCTGCGCTCCCGTAAGCCGGCCGTGTTCGCCTGTCGTCCCCACTACACGCATTCCAACGAGGTATGCACAACGCCGTTCGTCGCGGTCGCGCGGCTCGGCGCGTGCCTCGGCTCCTCCGCCCGTGCCACGTGCTCACGTCCCGTGTTGACGCGCGTGCCGGCGCCGCGGTTCCGCAAAGCGGCGCGTGTCCGCCGCACGGCACGCGGATGCCACGTGTGCGCGCGGCGGGGGTCGGCCGGCCGCCGGCTGACACACGTGTGTGCGTGTTGCAGGCCGGCAGGGGCTGCGCTGCGAGCTGTGCGGCGTGGCCTTCAAGACGGCCAGCCGGCTGAGCGAGCACCGCGCGATCCACCGCGGCCAGACCACCTGCCCCGTGTGCCAGTACGTGTTCACGCGGCGCACCCAGATGAAGCACCACCTGCGCTCGCGCCACGGCGTGCTGATGTAGCCGGGCCGGCCGGCCGGCGGGCGGGCAGAGGCCGGCGGCGGGCAGAGGCCGGCGGGCAGAGGCGGCGGCCGGCAGAGGCTGCGGCCGGCCGGCGGCCCGCGGCGGCGGGCAGAGGCGGCGGCGGGTAGAGGCAGCGGCCGGCCGGCGGCCCGCGGCGGCGGGCAGAGGCCGGCGGCCCGTGCTGAGGGCGGGAGAGCTGGCTAACGGCGGGTGGTCGGGACGCAGCTGGAGATGATTGGCCAACGTCAGTGGGGCAGCGGTCGAGGCGCCGTGCTGTGGGTGGCCGGCCGTCTCCCGGTGGCTCTGGGAACGTCAGCTTCGAACTCCGAGGCATTGCATGTCCGTGGACTGGGTTACGTCTCCCTGTCAGCGAATGATGCGCCCAGCGATGATATACCACGATTTGATGCGCAGAGCTGCTGATTCGACTTTTGACGTGTTGGTGCCGCGGAGGCTGCCGACAGGATTGGTTCTGACGATACACGCCTGTGGCCATTCCGGGCGGTGCTGTTTGTCGGTGATAGTTCTGGTCAGGAGATGAGAAGTAGATGGAGCTTTAACTGTGCCGCGCCGACTTAAAAAGATCCCAGCTTGCCACTTCCCGTAGGCTCTCGACCTGGTGGCTTGTGCGGCGAGGAGGAAAACTGGCCTCCATGAATTATCAGTGTGTCTATTCCTTAGTATCCCGGGCTCTGGAGTGGGTTGCTGCAGGCACTGTGGTCGGAGCCGGTGTGTGTCGCTGAATACATGAGAACATGCGGTTGTTTTTTTCGGGTGACAAACCACGATCGGGGTTAGTGGTGATCATGCACGAGAAAACAGGAGACACAGGACAGAGACGGGGCTGCGATAGCTCGTTAGCTGTTGGCGCTGGGCTGGTATAATGACCCACCGATGTGATCTGGCCTCAGTCGGGGCGGAACAAAGGTCACTGTAACATTGTCAGCGTGGTTGGGTGGTGCTCCAGGATTTCTGGCAAGTATATTGCGCGGCCCGTTTTATTTCCTCTGCATGAGAAGGCATGCGTTTGTTGGCTGGCCAATGTAATGAGGGCGCAAGAAAGGCCTCAAGCCACTTTGGTGTTGCGAGTTATAATTTTTGATATGGCCAATGCTCAATTTTTCACCGGTGGTGATTAAACGGCATATTCACGTAATCAATAGTATGCATTACGAAAACTGGACTTTAAAGGAGTGCTCGTGGTTGCCCTTAACCGTGAATACTGCAACAATATCGGATTTCCTTATAACTTATACCAAGACCGTTTGATAGTTGAACCCGTGCATCCTGGTATATTAAGGCTGGCTATTTTTAAGATAAGAAAACATTATGGTAATCAAGTTATTTCATCGCGGTACCAGCGGTGATGATATTTGCAATAAACGTATTATCAGGCATGCAACTGGTCCAACAGATAGAGTAATACGACACATGTTAACACTCCTGATGTAGGCGTTCAAAATGTTAACAGTTAACTCGCCTTTAGAATACAAGTATTGCTACTGACGCGGCGGCGCCAGGCTGTGCCGTGGTGGCCGCCCCAGGCTGTGCCGTGGCGGCGGCGCCAGGCTGTGCCGTGGTGGCCGCCCCAGGCTGTGCCGTGGCGGCGGCGTCAGGCTGTGCCGTGGCGGCGGCGTCAGTCTGTGCCGTGGTGGCCGCTCCAGGCTGTGCCGTGGCGGCAGCGCCAGGTTGTGCCGTGGCGGCGGCGTCAGGCTGTACCGTGGCGGCGGCGTCACTCTGTGCCGTGGCGGCAGCGCCAGGTTGTGCCGTGGCGGCCGCGTCAGGCTGTCCGGCTCCGTGGCCAGTCGGCTATCAATGACAAGCCACACGAGCTGTTCGGTTGGTCGAATCGATCTGACGGGCATGGGAGCGTGCCACTCTTCACACAGCTTCAGGCTTGGCACTATGTGTATGTATGTGTGTATGCGTGTGTTTGCAGCCGGCGCAGCTGGTGCAGTGTCTGGTGCGGCGTGGAGCAGCAGTAAACTGGCGGCTGACCTGACCTCGGCCGGCTCTCGGGCGTGTGTCGGTAGGTGCAGCGATGCTGACCTGACCTCGGCCGGCTCTCGGGCGTGTGTCGGTAGGTGCAGCGATGCTTACCTGACCTCGGCCGCCTCTCGGACGTGCGCCGGCGAGTGGGGTGGTGCTGACCTGACCTCAGCCATTCGCACCTCGGTCCGCCCCAGCTCCCGCCTGAACGGGGCAGCCGAGAAGAAGCGCGCTGGTGAAGAAGGGGAGAAAGGAGCACCGCGGCCCGCATTGCCTTAGAAGGCCGTATTCTTATATGAATCGCTGTCATTAGTATCACGATGTCCACCCTTCCTACCTGGGAGAGAAGCAGGCGATGCCTCGCGGCCGCAGCAGCTCAGCGTGCAGTACAGGCACAAATGCTGACGACGATCATGACCATAATCCTTAGAGAAAGAATGGCAAGTGTGCAAACCGCCCACGTTGTGGGCTTACTTAAGTCATTCAAAATATGTTCTTTGACCCTTCGACGACGAAGAGGACCCGTTTCCTTGGTGTCACCCCGTGTCAGGGATCCGTCTCCGGGGCCCTGTTCTCTATCTGAGGCCTCTGCCAACGTCTTGGCACATACTGGTGTGGTCGCAGCCATAAGCAGTGGTCGGTACCACAGCTGGCTTTGCGCCCGGGCGCTGCCTATCGGTGCCCAGGCTGTAATGGTATGCAAAAACGGCATCGCAATTGTCGTTATTGCCCGAGCGGCCAGTCCTGTCATCATGCCGCCGTCGGGCGGTAGATGTCGCCCTGGTCGCCACAGTCCGTCGTCCGGGTCCCAGCGTTCCGCTGCGGCGCGCGGGGCGGCTGGTGTGCCGTGCACGTGGGGTCGGCCGTGCGGGCGGCGCCGACCCGCGAGGGCCGGCTGCCACACGGGGCCGACGGTGGTCCGTCCCGACCGCGAGGTTGGCAGGGGCTCGGAGAGGGGCCCCGCCCCGTTGTGAGCGTGGTAGCAGCTGATGTTTTTCACTCGGTCTCGGCGCGATCCACCGAATCGGAGCGGATTGAGCGCCGGTGAGCGGTTCTCGAGCATCGATGACGTGCATGCGTACGTACGTTCGTACGCGCACCGGTATCCATACCGACTACAATAGAGATCTGAGTATTGCGAACAACTCAGGCGTGCATGACAGATTATTTTCTCTGTCGTCCCCTGGAATGAGTACGACTAAATTCGTCCGCATAGTTCTTCCTGCATGACAGAGAACGATGACTCTGCCTGTTTCCCGTGCTACCGGCTGTTGTTTTTAAACGTCCCAGGCTTGCGCTGCTCGGTGCCGTCTGCCATTCCACCTATCGGTGCCGATTGCTTTCTGATCTGAACTTTTTGTCGAGCGAGCATTAAGGGTTTGTGAAATGTTGGTCGAGCGTAGAAAGAAATAGCGAAGAAAAACACCAAGCCGCATAGCGATTCGTGCCTTATTAAAGCGGTAGTTTTTCAACAGTCATCGGTCAAACAAATTGCCTTGCAATCGGTAGCCGCGTCAATATTTCCAAGCCGCCGCGCGCCGGCGGGCTGGGGCCGCGCGCTGACGCCGTGTGACCTGTGACCTGCAGGGCCCGCCATGCCGGAGGTGTGCGAGGTGTGCGCGCGCCGCTTCTTCACGCGCGCCCAGTTGAACCACCACCTGTCGATCCACCGCGGCGAGACGGTGTGCCCCGTCTGCGGCCGCGTCTTCTCCACCAGGAATAACATGCGCGTCCACCTGGTCTCCATCCACCCGACCTCGCCGCAGGCGGTGCTGCTGCGCGAGCTGCGCCAGCGTCGATAGGTGGGTGTGACGCGGCGGCGGCCGGCCAGGCGTGCCGTGCGGCCGGCACCCCGCGAGTCGTGCAGTGCCATACCGTGCCGTGCCGTGCCGCGCCGCGGTGGCGGAGACGCAGATGACGTAGGTTAGTGCGGGATGGTCATGAGAGCTGATCGTCAGGTGTGTCCCCACCATGGCGCGCATGACTGTGCCTCTCCAGTGGCAGATGGTCTTTCCCCTCCAGCGGTGGACAGATTACTCGGATCGCGGAATTTTGTCAAAGGTCCAGCCTCTAGCAGCGAGTTGCCAGAGGTCGTACGGGCCATTCAATCGCACTTCGCGCCGCTTTGTTGTCTCTCGACGCTTGCAACACTGAGACTGGGCTCGATTACGACGATGGTGTAGTGACGGGCGCAGCGGGTCGGTGTGGAGTCGGTGTGGATCCGGCGCGGTATGTGGGGGGATCCACGATGGTGTAGTGATAGGCGCAGCGGGTCGGAGTGGAGTCGGTGTGGATCCGGCGCGGTATGCGAAGGGATCCACGATGCGGGGCGGAGAGCCTGCTGCTCCTAAACCAGCCGGGGTCGCCGGTCCGTGATGGTCACCAGCGCCGCCGGCGCAGCCGATGGCAGCCACGGCTGGCCGAGGCGAGTCTGCATCACTCCACCAGCGGCTGGAGACGTCTGCGGAAGCGGTGTGCTTGATCGCCAGCCAAAGCCGAGGCATCGACATTCCTTTGGCATTCGGCATTCCTGGCACGGAGCCGGCGCGGCGTCATTGTGTGATGTCCTGAGTGTCTAATTAAGCTACTAAAGCCGTTCAAACAATACGGCTCAGCTAGATTCATGATCAGTCGACTTGGGCATGGTTTTTGGCGGGACTGACGGCGCGACGGACGTCCGGATTGGCTTCGTCGCCCCACTTGTCGGGAATTGTTTCCTTTTTGGATGTGGAGGAGTGGTAAGAGGCACGGTCATAGTACAGCCACGCTGGCTACCCCGCCGCATGAACTCTGTGACGGTCGTCGAGTCATCCAACTCCAGGTCCCAAGAGACGAGAAGGCCAGCTTCGTCGGGTGCAGTCGGCGATGCTACCTCACAGCTCACAGCTGATTGACTATCGCCCCAAGCGATTGTCTCAGGGCAACGTTCGTGGGTGCAGAACCACCAGAAGCTAGGGGCGCTCTGTTATCAGAGGTGCGTTCCGCTGCCTTTGGTCAACCCCGGTGGTCCCTGCACTGCCGACGCCGGCTCACCGCCCAGTGCTGGGGCCCGCCGGCACGCCTTTCGAAAACGGTCTCGGAGACGGGCGCGTCGCAAACGTCGTTTGCTGCTGAGCTCTGAAGCGCAGAGCTCAACCGTTCAAATGTATATCCATCTTGCTTCGGTCAAGGCAGGTTTTTCTCTTGCGTTCCAAGCTGCATATTAAGATGTGGTAGGAGGGCTTCAATTACATGCATGTCGCACCATAGCACGAGCTCGGCGGTGGTCACGTACCGCAACGTTAGTGCTGTAGCTGACCGGCAGATGTCACCACGGCATGTTGGCCTTCCGCCCAGCATATTGTGCCCGTCAGGCCTATTGCCTTTCGGATGCCCTAAGTGTGGATTGTCTCTGGCAGGAGAAAATTAAACACATGCGATCAGATTAGATCAGATCAAAAGTACTTAACGACTTGACGTTTGCAACTCTTAAAAAGAAGATATCTTCGGATTGTGATTTTGCAAACCATTACAAAGTGGGCAGCTACTTGCGTAATTGGATGTGCGACCGCACCGGACATGATCTGATCTGCCGTTGTTGTTGTCCGCCCCTGTGGTCGGCCGGTGGTGTTGTCCGCCCGTGTGGTCGGCCGGTGGTGTTGCCCGCCCCTGTGGGTGGTGTTGTCCGCTCCGCTGATCGCTCTGTCCCCCGGCAGGCGCGTACTTCGGTGTCACGCCGCGCCCGCCCGTCTACCGGGTGTGCAAGCTGTGCCAGAAGCCGCTCTACTCGCAGCCCTCCTTCTTCTGCCACATGAGCATGCACCGCGGACGCACCACGTGCCGCCACTGCGGCCGCGTGCTCAGCAGCCGGCAGCGGCTGCAGCAGCACATCATCAGCCGCCACGGCGGTCTGCAGGACGACGAGAACGCCGCGCCGCCGGCACCACAGGGACCGCCGCCGCAGGGACCGCCGCAGCCGCAAGGACCGCCGCCGCACGGAGGACCGCTGCCGCACGGAGGACCGCCGCCGCAGGGACCGCCGCCGCCGCAGCCGCAGGGGCCGCAGCTGCACGGACCGTCGCCGCAGAGACCGCCGCCGACGTAGGCGACAGCCGGCCGCGGTCTGGGTTGTGGGCGCGGTTTGGTGTTTGGAAGTGTGGTGCGGTTGACGCGGTTTGGTGGCTGGAAGTGTGGTGCGGTGGACTGGTGCTGAACCCCCGGCGGGGGTCGCGTGTCGGGGCCTGCTGTGGCTTCACCAGCCCGCTCCCCCGCTCCGGGTGGGTCGAGGCGGCACGGCGGCCCTCCAGGCACGTGTGGTAGTGTATCCGGCGTTCTGCGTTTCGTATTTTAGGACATATTTTTGGAGTCGGAAAACGGACCCTGAATTCAATTTGTTGTTTGTCTTTGTTTGCAGTGAAAACGGTTGACTGGAAATGTAACCGTTGCGTGACATTTGCTGACAACCTTTTAGCTGTTAGTTATTGTCATTCAGGACATCTGTTATTCCTCACAGTTACTACCTGTTTCATGTGGTTTCTTATCTTCAATCTCTATCTACTTTCATCCCCTATCGTCATCTAGCATATAGCAATTATGCTGCGATTTTTATGCGGTCATATCAGCTGGAAATTGAAACTAAATTACGGTTGACAAGTTCCTAATGCATGGCTATCGTATCGCACCAAGGCGCTGGCTGTGGCATTACTACAACGGCGGGTGCATGCCACGAACCCAGAGCCGCGCTCTGCCGGTGGTGCTGCGCCTCAGTCCGGACCAATGTCGCCCCTCAGGCGGGGTCAGGCGCCAGCTGAGACCCACGTCACTCCGACGGCGCACGGTCTCCCTTCGAGGTGGCGGGGGAGGAGGGGGGGGGGGGGGGGGGGGGGGAGGGGGCGGGAAAGAGGAATGCGGCTCGCCCGTGAGTTGGTGGCGCGCTTCGGCGCGAGTCCGTCTTTTGCGGCGGGAGGGCCCGACGAAGTCACGTTACAACAGGGTGCTGAAAACGCAGCGGCCAGTGTAAGCAAACATGACTTGTTACCTGTACATATGCGTATGCCAGGGAAGGTCTGGGAACGCCTGTGCAAGCGCCTATTTTCCATGAGGCGATGCATTGTTGCACGTGCATGACACGGTTAGGTACCTTTCTGTAGCCTCACCCAGTGGGTGTTTTGATACCTGCCGGTTCGCTGGGAACGTCGTTTGTCGGCGAAGCGTTACGCCTTCGCTCCATGCGTCTGCTGCGCGGCGTTGTTGCAGCCTGCCCGTAGCCGCCGCACTGGAACCAGTCGTGTGAGCGAACGATGTTTGAAGTGTCGTACAGCAGCGCAGTGCAGCACAGCGTGTAGTTATTACGTATGCGGATCCTGTGTGATGTATCATTTGTAGTTATGAATCGTTTCTCACGTTTTTTTTCTGCAGTATCGTGCTTCCTGTCAATGTTTTTTTTTTTTGCGCGCGCCGTGTGTATCGACGTGACAGTAGAAGGAACCTGCTGCAAATACACGATTAGTAATTAGGACTACTCTCAGACACGTGTTCGTCGTTTAGAAGAGAGCCGCACCCTGCCACTTTCCAGAAGAATACAGTAACAGCGTATGTTTTTCGGATCAGTGTAGGCGAGTTTCATACCCTACCTGTTTTCCAGCGCGTATGGTTTCAACCGCGTGCATTTTACAAGTCAGTTTGTACGCATACTATACCCTGCCAGTTCCCAAAACCATACGGCTACAACGTGTTTTCATTCGGGTCAGTTTGTGCGAGTGTCCCGTCGGCTTCCCAAAGCCCACGGTTGTAACCGTTTTTGTGTTCAGCGGTTAATGTTACGTGGTCCCCGCCGGAGCCTGCGCACAGGCTTCCCGTGACGGCTGTGCCTGGTGGCCTCCAACATCTGCCTGGCGGCACCTGTCCCCGCTCGAGTCAGCACTGCCGTCAGAGCGGGGTGACGCCGATCACGGGAGCCGCCCGACAGCTGTCCGGACGGCTGAGACACCCCCCACCGCCCGCCCGACAGCTGTCCGGACGGCTGAGGCGCCCGCCACCGCCCGCCCGACAGCTGTTCGGACGGCTGAGACACCCGCCACCGCCCGCCCGACAGCTGTCCGGACGGCTGAGGCGCCCGCCACCGCCCGCCCGACAGCTGTCCGGACGGCTGAGACACCCGCCACCGCCCGCCCGACAGCTGTCCTGACGGCTGAGGCGCCCGCCACCGCCCGCCCGACAGCTGTCCGGACGGCTGAGGCGTCCGCCACCGCCCGCCCGGTGCTGCCCTCTGTTGTCGAGCAGAACGCCGAACCTGACCGCCCCTCCTGCTCACCACCAGACGCCGGACCTGACCGTCCCTCCTGCTCACCACCAGACGCCGAACCTGACCGTCGCTCCTGCCCACCACCAGACGCCGAACCTGATCGTCCCCCCCCCCTTGCTTGAGCGTGCCGGCGGCGGCCTGGGAGTAGTATGGCGGTGCCGCCGGCACGCACGCTCGCCGCCGAGCCGGCCGGGGCCGCTCGCTCGCACCGCGAGGACGGCCGGCCGCTGACACGACACAGCTGCGCGCTCCGGTGTCGCCGTCGATCGGCAGGCCGGCCGCGCGTCGTGTGGCCACTGACGTCCCTCCTCTCCCGCACCCTGCCCCCTCGCGAGGCTGGCAGCAGCGGCACGACGTGGCGCAGCGTGACTGTCAGTGTCAGAGTGCTCTGGGCTGTTCTGAGGCCGGACACTGGTCCTGGTGGCTGATGAGAGCGCTCGTCCCCGCTTATCGCGCCGCTTGCCCGGGTAGGTTCACTAAACCCTGGCGCCTGCCCCTCTGTGTGTGGTACCAGAGGCCGACATAGTCGCGCCGTCCGCACCTCATGATGGAGGTGGGCCGTTTTGGTCGGCCCAGTTAGTCTATCAGGCACCCGCGTATGGACGGTGTTCTTGCGTTTATGCGAAGCCTGCGCCCGCGTAACAGAAAGACAGTTCATTTGGTTACACGCTTGCTAATCGGCTATCGCAGACGGTGAATATGCGTTTCCGGTTGAGTCAAGGAATAGAAGTGCAGGGAAGATGCGGGTGAGTCCCTGCCGTTCCCGTTGCCTTGGTGACAATGACGAGTGCGAGAGCGGGGTGCGGGGCGCCGGCGGTGTAGTGATAAAGCAGCGCGTCTGAGAAGCCGTCTGGGTGCGGGGCGCCGGCGGTGTAGCGATAACGCAGCGCGTCTGAGAAGCCGTTTGGGTGCGAGGCTTGCTTCCCCGCGGTGCTCGCCCTCCCAGCTAGGGTGAGAGGCAGGCGACGCCTTATAGTCCCCAGCGCCTGCTTACGTCGTGAAGCCTCACCAAACGTAGCAGCTCGCGGCAAACACCGCGGCGCAGACGACCCCGCCGTCACCGGAACACACAGGTGGGCCGAAAAGAGCCTACAGTTGAGAACAGGTTGCGGTTGAGAAGCTGGAACAGCACAAAAAAAGAAGTCAAAGCAGACGTCAATGCGCCGTCATGTACCACGTGACTGAATGGAGCTGAACATGTTCTCCGCCAAATTTTGGTATTTCTGGCAAGATTGCAAAAAAAAAAAAAATACCGCGCCTATCCCCAGCGTACCGTTCAATCATATTTGCCGTTTGGTACTGTTCCCAGATTTTAAACATTCACTTGAATGGTTCCGAGCACAAGTCGCGAGCTTACCGTAATAGCTGTGATTGTTCACGTTATCGAAGAGAATATTTCACAGCGTGCGACGCTTCCCCTGGCGTTGCGCGCAAGAGCTTGGACACACGTGGTTCACGAATTCCCACGAGCACAAAATGGTGTTACCATGCCGTGTATTTGCATTTTGTTCGAAACAATCACAAGCATAGACAAAGCGGTTTCCAGTCACCAGCCACGGCCGATGGGTCGGCACACGACGGACCTCTGGCGGCGGGCTCAGGTCCCGGGATCCGCTGATCCATCTGGGACCTCTGGCGGCGGGCTCAGGTCCCGGGATCCGCTGATCCATCTGGGACCGAGCGGCAGGAAGCACATCACGGGTTCAGCGTCACCGCTACAGCGATCCACTGATCCAGTCAGGGATCGGTGTTTCAACCAGGACCCACTGGTCCACAAGAGACCGAGCGGGGGAGGTCCAGCGCAGGTGCCGGGACCCACTGGTCCACCTGAGACCGAGCGGGGGAGGCCCAGCGCGGGTGCCGGGACCCACTGGTCCACCTGAGACCGAGCGGGGGAGGTCCAGCGCGGGTGCCGGGACCCACTGGTCCACCTGAGACCGAGCGGGGGAGGTCCAGCGCAGGTGCCGGGACCCACTGGTCCACCTGAGACCGAGCAGGGGGAGGTCCAGCGCAGGTGCCGGGACCCACTGGTCCACCTGAGACCGAGCGAGGGAGGTCCAGCGCAGGTGCCGGGACCCACTGGTCCACCTGAGACCGAGCGGGGGAGGCCCAGCGCAGGTGCCGGGACCCACTGGTCCACCTGAGACCGAGCGGGGGAGGTCCAGCGCAGGTGCCGGGACCCACTGGTCCACCTGAGACCGAGCGGGGGAGGCCCAGCGCAGGTGCCGGGACCCACTGGTCCACCTGAGACCGAGCGGGGGAGGTCCAGCAAGGGTGCCGGGATCCACTGGTCCACCTGAGACCGAGCGGGTGGAAGTCCACCATCAGTCGGTCCGAGACTAGATCATCACAGTCGAGAAGATACGCAGACTTGTAGTGAACCACAACAGCGTCCAGAGAATCTTTTCCATTTGGCGACGTTGGCACACCAAAAACAAATTTTCCATGCACCTTTCTACCAACACGACCCCCAAAGAGATCGTAACGAACACAGGAGCCTACACTATAAATGCGACTACCCAGCAAGTCATAGCTAACACAGGACATAGAAAAACATAGAAACTAAACATAGAAACACAGGAGCCTGGTTTGCCACGCAACAAAGGTTCGCCCGGACGCGAGTCCGCCTTCCATGGAAGACCAGACTGAAAAACGGGTCCGAGCCCTCGCCGTCAGAGCATGGTCATTCGCTCGAAAACGGACGCGATAACGGACAACCGAGCGACCGCCACTGCCCAAACTGTGTTCCATTGGCAATCCGCGCTCAAAGAGCTATGCAGTTGTACACAAACGGTTCGTGG